TTTTATTTTTGTATAAAATATACTTTATATTTAGTATATATAAAAAGACAATAATGTTTTGTCAATATTTTTTTTCCATTTTTTTATAACAGTTAACATTTTTAAGTAAGTTGTAAAATTTTAATATTTAATTTTTTAGTTAAATTATATATGGAATGTTAATTTCGTTTTTAATATAATTTGGAAACATTGACATTTTCTAAAAATGATACTTTACATTTAGTATATCTAAAAAGACAATATTGTTTTGTTAATATTACGTTTTTATTTTTGATTTTCCATTTTTTTATAACAGTTAACATTTTTAAGTAATTTGTAAAATGTTAGTATTTATTTTGTTAGCTAAGTTATATATGGAATATTAATTTCGTTTTTAATATAATTTGGAAACAATGACATTTTATAAAAATAATAAACTAATATAATGATGTGTCATTATACGATTGGAGGACTTAAATCCTATGTGGACGTCCTCAATGGCTTATAGCCTCAACTTTTATATAGTATAGATATGTTTTTATTTTTTCCTACTGTTAAATTTTTTTTGGTTCAACTCCCGTTAAAATTAGGATGCAATTTCATGTCTTGGGCTACTTACTATATTGGACTACGATGTTTCATGTTTGGCTTCACTTATTGGTTATATTAGATGGATTAGATGGGTTCTCTAAAGATGGGCTGACTGTAACCTCTTTTGCTAATTTCTGATTTTTTTTGTCAGTAAAAAAAAGCTAAATGTAAAAGAGGTGTTTTTGCTAAGTTTCTGAGTAAATGTAATAATCTAAATGTGAAAATGAAAGCAAGTGAATTTTTACATACAATGCATGTATCAGAATTCTCAGTGTCCATTAAATTTTGGGTTCAACCACCAGTAATTCATTCGAGTATAACAACAACCAAAATTCACCACTTTCGGTTAAACTTTTTCCAAAACTATTTTTTCTAAAAATTTAATTCTTAAATAGGAAATTTTACAACTTGGGAAGAAAAGGAAACTTTTCTATAAAAGAAAACTTTGTTAGTGGCCGCTCACAACTACAATTCTATTACTTTTAACTCCTTCCTAGTCTACTCGAAACCTCCTCTCTGAGTCTCTGACTTTATCTTTCATTAGTACATGTGTTTGTATATAATTGCTTACCTTTTATATACATATGAATGACGTAAATCTCTCCCAAAAAGAAAGAACAAAACCCAAAACCTTCAAGTTGAAAATCCTCACAAAACACAGTTCTCAAAGCTCTTAGTATTTTTTTTCCTTCTTGGTTGGTGTATGTATAGAAAAGAAACTAATAAGCATGGATTTGCAGAAAGCTATGGTGTTCTCGTGTTGGGTTTTGTCTCTTTTGATCATCGAGACGACAGGGCATCGCGATCAGCTGTTCCATCCGCTTGAAACGGAAAACGCAAACGCAAACGTGATGACGATGGTGATGGAGCGAGGTTTACAGACGCGGCGACCAGAGCACAAGAACGCATATGCGACGATGATGTACATGGGAACTCCAAGGGACTACGAGTTTTACGTTGCAACACGTGTCTTGATCAGATCGCTCAAAGGTCACCATGTTAACGCTGATATCGTCGTTATCGCCTCCCTCGACGTTCCTCTCCACTGGATTCACAACTTGTAAGTGTCTCCTCCTCTTCTTCTTCTTTTCCACGCTTCCGTTTTAATTGGTTAGAAAAAATCATTTCCTTTTTGTAACTTTTAATCAAGTAAATATCATACAATTTTCAGCCTTGTATGACTTATACAATTTTTTCACAATATTTCTTTTATTGTACAAAAAGTGAAAAGTCAATATACTTCTTAGAACTCCTAAATATAGGAGATGGAATAGCAGTAGTGCGGGAAACAGCTTGAAAGCAATTATAATTATTTTAGAAAATGAGATTATTAATTAGTAGTATTTAGATTAGAAGCAACAAAGACATCATAATAATTTTTAGGAATATGCTTAGGATGCCTTGGCTCTTTGGAAAACATAAAATAAAATTGAAAATGTCCGAACACGACAGTCTTAATGGTAGACGTGTTTGCACGAGCTTTTTTTGCTTCGTTTTGAGTTCATATGAAAAACTTATACGGGTTAGGTGCAAGTTTAATGTTTCTTTCTGTATAGTGGAAAGAACCTAAATGTGTAGCAATAAATAAACAACAGTGGATTTGTTGATTATTTTAAATTTTAAGAGATAAGAAGAAGATATTATAAAAAAAAAAGTAAATGGGGCTGTCAAATACCTTATTCTAGTAACTCAAAGTTTCAGTCCTTTAAAAACTTTTCTGTTGGTTTCCCTTTTCTGGAAGGGGAAAAGTGTCAAATTAATATCCATTTCTTGTTAATACATAATATTCAGAAAACATTCAACTGCAAGAAATTAATACAGTTCTTGAGCAAAAGATTCTCAATGTGTACAGTTCACTAATGGGTTACAATCACAAGAAATTAATACAGTTCTTGAGCAAAAGATTCTCAATGTGTACAGTTCACTAATGGGTTACAATCAGCGGCGGAGCCAACCATACTTTTCACTGAGATCATTTCCATTTCATCCATATGTTATAGGGGTCACATAAATTATATTTTCAATATTTCATAAAATTTGTTCAAATAAAAAGAAAAATTATCAGAATCTGTAGGGATCACATGACCCTCCTATCGTAACGGTGGTTCCGCCCTGGTTACAATACCCTCATATGCTAGTATCTCAAAAGAGATTTCTAAAATATAAATTATTGTTATTGTAAAGCATTTTCATAATTAAATAATTTCATTTCTTCTTAAGAAAATGAAACTAATAATAATTTGACAAATGTTACAAGAATATCACAATTTGAAAAATGGTATACGAATATCTTAAAACGTGTCATGAGTTCTTATTTGAGTCCAAAAACTTTCTCTATTTTTGTATATTATTAACCTTTTGAGATACCTTCTTGAGATCTTACAATTGAATATGCTCTTATGTAGGGAAGAAAGGGACGGAGCTAAAGTAGTGAGAGTAGAGAATCTTGAGAATCCATACAAGAAACAAACAAACTTCGACAATAGATTCAAACTTAGTCTGAACAAGCTCTACGCTTGGTCTCTCTCAAACTACGACCGTGTGGTTATGCTCGATGCCGACAATCTATTCCTCAAAAACACTGACGAGCTCTTCCAATGCGGCTCGTTTTGTGCTGTCTTCATCAACCCTTGCATCTTCCACACTGGCCTCTTTGTGTTGCAGCCATCAATGGAGGTCTTTCGAGACATGGTTCATGAGCTTGAAGTAAAAAGAGATAATCCTGATGGAGCTGATCAAGGCTTTCTTGTTAGTTACTTCCCTGATTTACTTAGCCAGCCTCTATTTCATCCTCCCAGTAACCGCAGCACGGCGCTTTCAGGACATTTTAGACTTCCTTTGGGATATCAAATGGACGCATCTTATTACTGTAAGTGACTTCAACTTTCTCTATTTCATTAATTTCAATAATCAGAACATTTTGCTAATCTTTTTGTATATATTATTAGACCTTAGACTCAGATGGAACGTACCGTGTGGACCAAACAGTGTAATCACATTCCCAGGAGCAGTTTGGTTAAAACCATGGTACTGGTGGTCATGGCCTGTTCTTCCTTTAGGCCTATCATATCACCACCAACGCCGCTACACCATAAGGTATATGTTTAATGTCACACACCGAAACCCATATTAGTACTCATATAATCTCCATTTCTATATGTTATAAATTAAAAAATGATATATTATATATATATTGCAGTTACTCGGAGGAGATGCCTTGGGTCGTAATCCAAGCAGTGTTCTACCTAGGAATCATATTAGTCACGCGTCTAACGCGTTCTAGCATGTCCAAACTATGTTACCGACGTTTTGACAAGAGTCTAACGGTGATACAAACTATTAGGGACTAAGGTCCCACATCGGTTGTTGGAAGGGATCTCTAGCAATATATAAGATAGATGGGCCACCCCACTTATCACCAATTGGTTTTAAGTTGGAAGCCCATCTACCTTAATATGGTATCAGAGCCCACGATCCACGCAATCCAACCCGATCCTTATCGATCCAGCCCAAAGTCGGCCCATCGATCCTTGCCCGAACATTCCGAGATTGATGCCGAAGATCCATCATCTCGAGGGGGCGTATTAGGGACTAAGGTCCCACATCGGTTGTTGGAAGGGATCTCTAGCAATATATAAGATAGATGGGCCACCCCACTTATCACCAATTGGTTTTAAGTTGGAAGCCCATCTACCTTAATACAAACATCTTTGAAAATGGTTGCACTCTTCTTGATTCTGTCAGCATACATTATACCATTTTTCATCATACCACAGACTATCCACCCGCTCATGGGTTGGTCACTCTACTTGACCGGTTCCTTTGCTCTCTCCTCCATACCCATCAATGCCTTCTTGCTTCCGCTGCTCCATGTCTTGACACCGTGGCTTGGCATTCTTGGGACGCTCATTGTGATGGCTTTTCCCTCGTATCCTGATGGCATTGTCAGAGCATTGTCCGTTTTGGGGTATGCCTTTTGCTATGCACCGTTTCTGTGGGTCTCCTTTGTGAAAATCACATCGCATCTTCAGGGTTTGATTGACAAAGAGATTTCATTTCAACGGTTAGGTCAATCCGGAACTAGTTCTGGTCTCAGCAAATTGTATTGATTAATACGGTGAGATTTTGATTATATGTTGAATTGCTTCTGTACATAAAGGTTAGAGAATATTAACATTAGCTTTATCTTCTTGCACTTAATAACCTATCAAACATATTTAAGGAAATGCATAAATGGAACTACACGTTTCAAAAGAAACGGGTGAACTATTATGCTCAATGATTCTTCTTTATTTTCTATACTGATATTGGAAAATTCATAACTAAGAATGGATGTTTTGTTTGGGAAATGTGTGACTTGTGAGCACATCAAAATGGCCAGATTAAATTTTACTCAGTGGCCTTAATCGGTGCAGCGAGGTCTTGCACTCGTTTTCAGGAGATGTGTCCAGCCCCGTCTAGTGGGCCCTAATGAGTTACATATTTTATTTTAAAAAATGAACTATGTTATTATGAAGAAGAAAAAAAATCAAATTCTTCTGTGTGCATATGATTTTGTTAAATACATTTTAACTAGGTGTTTTGCCCGCACATGCGGACTTAATTATTTTTAAGACAATTTAAAAAATCATAATAAATAATTATTTTTATCCAAAAATTATACCTAAAAAATTAAACGTTTTTACATGATAAATTATTCATAAATTAAAAAAAAATCTATTTTCCCTTTAAAACTTTGAAAACAAAATCTAAAATCTGTTTCATTTCTTCTCAATTGATAAAAAATCTAGAAACTTATCTTTCAATTTGATAAATTGAATCAATAAATATACATTCAAAAATTATGTTATATATATATCATTATGTTATATTATTATATTCTTTTAATTATAAAATAATTACGTATTATAAATTTTTTAATTTTCTCTTTTCAATTATGTACAATTAAAAAGTTTCTTTATGAGTATTTATTTATGTTTTTTTTCTGTTTTTCATTTTCTATTAAAATATATTTTCCGTATAACAACACACTATATATAGGAATTATTTTTTTCTTTTAAAATATATGTTTAGATTATGGATAATTCTTATCATAATTATTAATTTAAATCATTTATCTAATCAAATAAATATCAATTTCATTTTTTTATTTTATGTCTAATTTAAATATTTTATTCATTAAGGGTATAAACGATATTAACCACTCTAACTTTTAATGTGAGAGCTCCGTTGCGAAAAATCACTTCGCAAATAATAGTATAGATAGATTGTCACTAACTCATCGTTTTTAAATACAACAAAAAAAAAAGAAAGTTAACATTTTTATAATAATAAGTATAAAACACAATTACAATAGAAACTAATCCTGATAGATCTTCATGACCAAATCTTAAATGCATTGATGGAGCTTTCATAACAAAATCGGACAGCTAAAATTATGTGATGTGAAAATATACAACTTTAAACTATATGGTGAACATGATACTTGTTAATTAAGTAGCTCTAAAATAGAAATATAGCGCAAAAGGGTTTGCCACATGCCCCACGTCTACATGAATATGACAAACCCGATTTACCAAAGTACCATTCATCTCATGGTTTTGTTCAGACAACATAATGAAATCTTTTCCCTCTGTTTTTTTCTTAAAGAAAAAGTTACTCAACTTACACTAAAGAATCTATTACAAAAAAACTCTTCGTCTGGGTGTCCAAACAAAAAAAACTCATCTTCTTTATTATGGTGGAGAGTCAGGGGATAAATGCTTATTTAACTTTGAAAGTCAAGTAAGGGTAAACATGCAGAAACGTGATTTTTGATCAGGGATATTTCTCTAATAAATAAGGAAGTTACTAGGTGTCCATAAAAAAAGGTGTTCTGTTTTTTTTTTTTTTGTCAAGAAAGAAATATAAAGGGTGGTTATGTATTGGTCTTATAAAATAACCACTGTACAGAGCTACAGATGCAACTGGCGACACAAACTACACCACAATGAAATAAACTATATTTTGTTGTTAGAAAATTGTAAAAAGAAATAGCAACGAATACGGTGAATGTAGACCAACATCTCACCATGCAGTATATAAATTCATGACATATTGATCAAAATAATGAGAGCTGATAATAAGTAGCTAAGTTGGTTTAAAATCAATTTTAAAATTCATTTTTAAACCTTTCTAAAAAACATTGTAGTTGTTTCTAAACCATTTAAAAAAATATTATTAATCCGTCAAAAAATTAATTTTAAATATTTCAGAAAATAATTATGATCTTTTCAGAAATCAGATTCGAAAAATATTCTGAACCATTCAGAAAAAATATTTTGAATCCTTAAAAAAAAAATATTCTGAATCATTCAAAAAAAAATGTTAACCCGTTAGAAATTTAATTCTATATCATTCTGAAAACTATTCCAAACCTTTCATTGTTTGAAGGATTTGAAAACCCTTCAGAAAAATATTTTAAACCCTTTATAAACCAATTTTGAATCTTTCAAAACTAATTCTAAAAATTTTAGAAGCTATATATGAACTCTTCAGAAACCAATTTCAACTCTTTAAAATCAATTATAAACTGTTCAAAAAATGTTTTAGATCCTTTCAAAAAATGTTGCTAACCTCTTCAGAAAATGTTACTAACTCCTTCAAAATATAATTTTGAATTTTCAAGAAAATATTTCATCTTTTCACATTTTGTTTTGAATGGATCAACAACGTATTCGAAAAAGCTTAATAATTTATCTGTCTATAAAATTAATGTTAATTAATTCTGAAAAAAACAGTTTTGCTAGGAGATCTACATTTATACCAACTTTTGATTTGAATTTTTGGTTATATTTGTTTCATGCCCAATTTTTAAAATTATATGGTCAATTAATAACTAAATTTTGAGCGAACCGAATGTGTCAAGATTGTTCAAGCTTGAAACTGCAGTCATATGACGGTTCAAATAAACAAAATCCAATACTGGTTCGAAATTCAAAATATTAAGACCCTAATCATACACATCACAAAGTTGGTATGCTTTTTCTTTCATTCAATATAAGGGCAATGAGTACAATCAATAATTTCTCTGTATGTTGGCAAACAGAGTTGTGAGATGACTGTTTTTTCTTATAGTTAAAGAAAAAAAAGACAAAAAGATGTTAAGAACTCCTTAAGAATCCCATAAGCACATGTCGTCTATTTGTTAATTTAATTTTCTTTTAAAATAAAAATCTCGTGTTTAACTCCATATTTTAAAAATATTAGTATTTTATGTTTTGGAACATATTTAAATTTTGCAGCATTAACGGTGCTCTTAGATCGTTTCGTTTAAATTTTTCTAACTATTTAAACTCGTAAATCATTACTATCAAGATATTTAAGTGTTTAAACCGTTTAAAATAACATTTTAGCATTTAAAACCTCAACCTCAAATTAAATCAGTGTAAAGTGTAAACTAATATAATAATGTTTAATTTTTAATCTTTATTTTTCAACTTTTGTGTTTAAGCTTCTAAACTCATCTATGCATTGTTGGAGAAGTGCCTAGTCAATAAAAGGCAAAGCCACAACTTTCTTGTTGCGCTTTCTTGTCTCCTTTCTTCTCTCTTTTAAACAATTCTACAATTTATTAAAAAACAAATTTAGCCTGTTTCTCTTGCAATAACATGTATATTTCCAATCACAATATACACAAAGTCAGTATTAATTCGAGATTCTATATTCGGTGGTCATCGTTGTCAGTATAGTTTTTCTTTAAATTGTTATACTAAAACAAACTAAATAAAATTATCTTTTACGTATCATTAGTAGTAGTTATCGTATGGACCAAAAGAGAGGAATGCTTGTTACCTACTCTCTCTCTCTAAAGGACACAGAAACATAAAGTCTTCTTAAGGTTTTCTTTAGTTCTGTTCTTTTTTTTTTTTGCTTTGGAAAAAAAAATGCAGAAGCACAAATGCAAGCTCTGTTCCAAGAGTTTCTGTAATGGCAGAGCACTTGGAGGTCACATGAAGTCTCACTTGGTCTCATCATCACACACGCCGACTCGAAAGAAACTCGGTGACTCGTCTTCGTCTTCTTCAGACGGTAAAACTCTTGTCTACGGGCTGCGAGAGAACCCAAGGAAGAGTCTCCGTGTCTTTAATCCAGAGTCATCCATCGTTTACAACAGCGAGACCGAGACCGAGACCGAACCTGAATCTTTAGCTCCGGTTCGGAAACGAGGCAGAGCAGTGGTTTCCAAGAACAAGAAGAAGAAGAAGATGATGAGTCATATTAGCTCCAACGAGTCACCAGAACCGGTGAGTTCTGTCTCCGATGGTTCTCAAGAACATGATTTAGCCATGTGTTTGATGATGCTCTCGAGAGATTCAAGAAAGATTGAGCTTGTCAAGAAACCAGTTTTTGTAGAGGAAGAGATGAAGCCGGAAAAGAGACATTTCCCGGAGCTCCGCCGATGTGTGATAGATCTGAATCTTCCTCCACCGCAAGAAAACGATGTTGTCACCGTAGTTTCAGCCATATAAAAGAGATGAGGGTTTCAAGAGGTTATTGGATACAGTCAAAAATCAAAACATCTTGTTGCTTTGTGGCTTCTTCAGGGTCAGTATTGTTCTTTAAACTAGAATACCATTTATTGGTTTGGGAATCTTTTATCAAACAATTTAGTTTTGATTTAAGACAGGAGAAAAACCAAGCAAAAAGTACGACTTCAAGATTTGTTTTTCAGTTTTTAAGGTCGTGGATGATGATGATAATATATTGTTGGATCTTTGTTATGTTATTTTGATATTTAGAAGTCTTGAGTTGATTCTTTTGCATGATCTTTGGATCTTGGATATTTGTTAATTAACGTGTTTTTTTTTAAAAGAAACTTTCATTTCATACTGTATTTTTGTACACAAGTGTGTGTGCTACGCTGCTAGTCTTTTTTTAATAATGTAAATGTTATTCTTGTCACGTGTAGCATCTGGTGTTGGAACAACTAGTACACTAGTAAATACTCAAAACATCCAAAATATCATGGATATTCAAATATGAGCTTGTTCGTTTGTTCATGCAAGAGTACTAAGATATTAACATCTTGTATTTGAAAATCGAATTTGGATCGCCATACATTATTACATAGTGGAGATTTATGGTGAGATTCTTTTTCATTTTATTTTTCTTGGAGACTAAGGTCAATTTTTAAACTTTCGTTTTTACTGATCATAGGAGACATTAATTATAAGTTTATAACCAAGTTATACTAATTCATAAACCTAAACTGAAAAAGAAACATGTTAAACCTAAATCAAAATAAAAAATATCAGAAAATAATGTAAGAAATTAATTTATGATATGCTTCCGTTCAACTCTACTCTCTCACTAAAAAAAACTCTACAGTTATGAATATATCACATTATCAAAGAATAGAAAAGGCAAAGATTTGAATTTGAGTTGTTGGAACTTTAATATATCGTTGAGTAAAGAAGAGGCTTACACACAAGGGAATCTGTAGTGTTAACTGTTAAGTAGCTTTGCTTCGATCTCAATTTTCGCCATATCCCATCAGACAGAAACTAAACAAAAGTCATGTGTATATAAATATTCTAATCCAAATTAAGTCATGACTACTCGGGACTGCAATAAAAAGATTACCAATATTTAAAGGGAACCGACGGAACAACAAACCCATCACTTTTTCTTTAAACAGTACAGCACGATCCAAGATGAATGTTTCTTTTTTGCTAAAAATCCAAGATGAATGTTTATATCCTATATATATTCATTGCAACTTTTTGATAATATATTCAACCATTATTTAAATAATTTCAAATAAAACACTAGTCTTATATACAACATTTTAGAAAGTTATGCAAAACAATGTATTATATTCTAAGTACTTCGTTGGGAGTGAATTTTGTTCGTTAGATATATATCGATTGCTCACCTAATTTATCAGGCAGGGTTCTTTGATGACATGACAATACTCTCGTTTACTACTGTCCATAAGGTACATTAAAACTATAAATGTACTCCGTAACGTCTGAACTCGTGTGGGGAAACATCATTGTTCGGATTTGCTAAACTTGACAGACGCACTTATAATGTGTATTAGGCTCGCTATATGCATGAGACACCTTTTATCAATATGTTTCTATCTGAACCAGATTGATAGGTTTAGTTATAATATCTATTTCTTCATCTCCTTCTCCACAACAATCTTCTTTCCCTTTGGCCCAGAACATACAACTTAGCTTCGCTATAACCATGGCTAATTTAAACCCTTAATTGTGTTTAAGCGCTGAAAGGATTAGCCACCGTACGTGGTAGACATGGGTAATAACAAGATTATAAAATCATAGTAAGAACAAAATCTTGTAAAAAAATCTCTACCGTCTTATTCTCAAGATATTATTACAACCGTAATAAAATTGTGTTAACCCTTCACCAAGAAATCTCCATTTTCTTTTATCGTGAGTTTGTCCTCCTTGGACATCTTTAAAAGTTGTCTTCTTACCTACGTTTATATCTGCACGAGAAAAAACATGAAAACAAAAAAAAACTCATCTTAACATTTACCTTAACTTTCATGATTATGAATCTAAGAACTGGCTATTAAAAGTAACGTTTTACTTACCGGCCTTTGCTCTTGAAAGAGTTCTTAGACTTCCCCTTAGGTTTCGCTGAAGCCGCAGCGCCGCTTCTACCTTGTTTCTTCTCACTCATATCACTCTTGAACAGATCTTTCATCTCTTCATTCCTAGGCTGGCTCTTTGGTTTACTCCGGTTTAGGTTTTGTTTCTTGTTTGGAGTTGGTCTCTCCATCTTACCGGAATCAATCGCTCTCTGTTTTGCCTTCACAGCCTTTGCTCGCCTGTAACCAAGATCCACAAGTGTCAGCCCTTTCTTATCTGTTTCTTGCATCTTCTTCTTGTCTTTCCCCTGAACACAAACACGTTTAAAAAATCAATACAATGTTTCATCATATCACATCGATAGATAGAATAACTGAATATACTCACTCTTGATCTTCCTCGTTTTTCTTCTTTACCATCATCTTCTTCTTCTTCGTCCTCATCTTCTTCGTTATCCTCTAGCATCTCTCTAGCAGCTTCGAGCTTTCTACGTTTTTTCCTTGGGAGATTCTTCTGTACTTAGCATGATCAAAAGACTTGTTAGTTATCTAGGAAGAAGATAATGAGCAAACCAACACTAAACAAGAAATGTGTATGCAGCTGAGAAGTGAAGAGACCTCGCGTTCGCGTTTTCTTTTCTCCTTCATCTTGAGATCCTCTGCTATGTCAGCACTAATTAGTTCGTTTCCAGAAGGGTTCCCTGTAGAATCCTGTTCAGACAAAAGTTATCCAGAGTGATTCAGACAACAACAACAACCTCATAAACTTTCCTATTGAAGTTTTGGATGAATATAGAATGCAGTAATAAAAAATGATACCTTTTCAGCTTTAGCCACGAGCTTCTTCTCCTTCTCTGTCATGAACCAAGTCCTTTTTGGCCGTGCATATATTTCATCTCTGTGCTCAATCATGTTCTCCGCCTGCAGAAACAATAAAACCATAATCATCAACGTGAAATAAAGCCAATGATTACTGTTCAAAGCCAAAAACCAAAGCTGTCTCTACCTTTGCAAATTCCATTTCAGCTTTCCTTAGAGCTCTCTCTTCCCTGAAATAGATGAAAACACCTTAAAACCTCAAGTAAACAGATCAATGAAGAACGTAATACTTTTGATTGATGTGAAAAGAAACCTCTCTAATCGGATCACAGCAGAGTATTGATCTTCCATTTCATCAATTATCTGAGACCACTTGACTATTGACTGCTCTGGAATGATTCTGCTCTTCAACTTTGAACCCACCTTCTTTGCCTTGTGACCCAAGAAACAAAGTCAACTAAAGCAATAATGAAAAGAGGCAATAGCAAAGATCCACGTATGTTCTGAAAATTGGCTTACAATGACTTTCAAAAGGGAACGGTCATTATCAGTCACAAACGTTACAGCATAACCTTCCCTTCCAGCCCTAGCTGTTCTACCAACTCTGTGAACATAACTGCACACTCAAAGGAACAAATATTATTCTCTAATAGCTCTCTTTTTTTTTGAAACAATTATATCAAATACTGTATTTACCTGTCTATCTCCCGAGGACATGCATAATTTATAACTGTTTGGACACCAATAATGTCAAGCCCCTGGAATGATCAAACAAGAATGTTTAAGAAGTGAAGTAAGCAGAGCAACTTTGAGGTCATTCTAGAAAATAAGTTATTTGCGTCTTAGACTTACTCGAGCAGCAACATCGGTCGCAATGAGAAAATCAACCTCTTGCTTTCTGAAAAGTTCCAAAGACTGCAAAACGATACGGTTAAGTGTTCTTGCAAATAGCGAAACAGATGTATTCATGAACAAAAAATCCAAATTTCTTACATCAAGACGTTGTGCTTGAGTTAGGTTTCCATGAAGCTCAGCTGCTTTGAGGCCAGTGAGTGCGAATAGAATTTTCAGTCTATGTGCAGCCTGTTTTGTTCCACTAGCACAAGAAAGAAAAAAATAAGCAAATCTCTAAGTGAATTGCAAAAACGCAAATATATCCACAACAAAGGAATCACAATTTCTAGTGAAGTCTAACCTGAAGATAATGACTTTTGATTTAAAAGTTCTTGTGCATAAAGAAAGAAGAACAGCTTCCTGATTTGCCTCACGCGTCCTGCGTATTCTCACCACCCTACAGTTAACAGATAACGAGTTAGACAAATGATGTATATTCAATTATTAAGTAGGCTGGAAAATGATAATTAGAAGCTGACATACTCTTCAGTCAGGCCTGGAGGCCTTCTAGCAGATGGATCCGCTGAGAGACGTAAAGGTTTGTTCAATGAGAGTTTGACAAGCTCTTTAACTTCTTCAGTCATTGTCGCTGAGAAGAGCATTGTTTGCCTTCTCTTCGGACATAAGCGAACCTGCAAGCAGACATGGGCTCATATTTAAATCCAACAATGAAAAGCCTGACACAAACATGAAAATGTAATGAAAAAGGATATAGATACCAGCTCTTGAATTTCAGTGGCGAACCCAGTCTGTAGAAGGCGATCTGCTTCATCGAGAATTAAAACCGCTAAATCATCCAAATCCACAGACATAGAGTTACGCAAATGATCTATCATACGTCCAGGAGTCGCCACAACAATATCTGGCATAGACCTCAGAACAACCTCTTGCTCCTAACACAAAAAACGTGAAAGATTTAGCAAAGCTTGCCACCGTTACATTGTAAGAGACGCTTCTAAAAGAGGCTTCAAACATCGAATACTTAAGAAACTGAGAAGCTCCATACCCTTACAGAAAGCCCTCCTACAATCAATCCACATTTGATATCAGTAAACTGTGCAAGCTTCTGAATCATACTGTGAATCCTGCAACACATTCCACAAAAATAAAATCACCCTTTTCCATCAAAAGTTGTAAAAGTTCAGTATCGTAGCCGTGACCAAAGTTATGTTACTTACTGGACAGCCAACTCTCTGGTTGGAGTAAGAATAAGAACTCTAGTAGCAAAGACACGCTTGGGACGGAACAGTAACCTCTCCAGAGTAGGTAAAGCGAACGCAGCAGTCTAATACAACAAGAGAAACTAATCAAAACACCACACTTTTAATCAGAACCCTTCGAACTATTACTACTCACCTTCCCTGATCCAGTGATGGCACTGGCACAAAGATCACGCCCTGTAAGTGCTAAAGGTATACACGCTGCCTGCATTAGCAAACATTAACGATTCAGATGGAAAACTCTAGAGCAGTAACTGAAACTAAAACTCTAGATAGAAACTGGACCTGAATCGGTGTAGGTTTCTTGTATCCAAGAGTTTCACAAGCTCGAAGCAACGGACGAGAGAGATTAAGTTCCATGAAGGAATTAGCATGGAAGGAAACTCCATCTACAGTAGAGAAAAACGGCTTGGAAGCAGCATCCTCTGCTTTTAACTCTGCTGCATCTTCGTCCTCTTCCGAGAGATACTCCTCCTTCACAATTAAAGTTCACACTTTTTGTCAAGTGTTCTAAAAATCGGTCTAGACTACAACGTACAAGAGGGAAACGATTTTTTCAAACCAATTTAGGAACTAAAACAATCCCGTGTTGCCCGCATAAACAATAATCTTCTATAAAACACTTAACCACCTAAGCGCGTGAACACCTAAGCGCCTGCCTAAACAATAATCCTCTATAAAACGCCTAATCGCCTAATTGTCTAGCCTAGGTGGGACGGAGCCTGCCTAAACAATAATCCTCTATAAACCGTCTAATCACCTATCGTCTAGCCTAGGTGGGACGGAGCCTGTCTAAACAATAATCTTTTATAAAATATCTAACCACCTAGGCGCCTGTCTAAACAATAATCCTCTATAGAATGTTTAAGCATAGACTAGCTATTCTAAGAACATTGATATTTAGTTTCCATATTCGGAATTTGAGATTAAAAAGTTTGGAATATTTACTTGTTTGTCGTGTTGGGCATGAGAGACATCTTCTTCTTCTTCTTCTGTGGAGATGGGAAGTGGATGATGTTTGATGGCTTTGGAGATCTTTTCATCGATAGAGGTTGTGTGACGGCGAGCGTGTTCTTCACCGACGGAGCTTGAGTAAGATGCAAAGTCCCACGGAGACTGTGCGTCACTGCTTACTTTCTTTGTAGGCTTCTCATCTTCTTCTTCCTCGTCTTCGCTACTATCTTCCTCTTCATCAGCTTCTTCTTGACCTTTATGTACTTGTTCTACGTCTTCTTCACTACTCTCTTCTTCGTGGTTTAGAAACTCGAGATCGTCGTCGCTGGCTGCGTCGTAGAAGAAGGCCCCGGACATTGCTAGGGTTTATGAGGTTTAGCAGAGTCGAGCGCCGGAATTTAACGAAGAGGTTACTTAATAGGTCTGAGAAGAAACAAAACGAACCGGTCTGGTTCGATTTGAGACAATCAAAACCAACTTCTTTTGTTCATTCCATTTTAAATTTTGAGTAATCGTCCAATAATAAACGAAACAGAAAGTTTCTTAAATAAGAGATTTTCTGTTTCATTTTTCGTAAAATTCTTAACCCACAACTATATATATATGTGTATTAAAAACCAACCACAAGAAACTATGCAATAATGTTGATTTAAAGCTTATGATATTCAATCTAATAAGTTTGGATATTGTTGATATTTGTTTTGGGGACAAGACTTTGGACAAGGTTCTAGTTTTTGCATAGGTTGTTATCATTCTCAAGCTCTTTGTTAAAAGACGAGGTGGATAATTTGTTCACAATTTGCCAAAAATATTAAATACATATTCTGCTCTTTAAACAAACAGAGATTATGTGTTCATTACATTATTCTTCAGCAATTAGTTATTTTTTATTTATAGAAAATAAAGTGAATATGGGGATAAATTTCAGATACATATTTAGATAATTGAGTATACAGATTTACTGGGAAGAAAATATAAGTCATGATCAATCTCACCTATGCAACGTCATTAGAAATGGGACTAATCATGTTTTGGTCCATAAACATCTTCATTTTTCAATTTTTGAGATAATGATGTACACAAACCCAAAGTAATTAATAAACCAAAGAATAATAATCCCCTTAGACCAAATATCATTTTCCACTCAACATCCCTTTCCCCCCCTAAACCTTTTTTATATTTATACAATTTGTATTTTTCAAACAATATTTTTCCTGAAAACCTATATGAACAGAATCAACACAACCAACAACAGAACATAACCGGTAAAACCCCCCGACAAGAATCTCCCTGATACGCCACCGTTTCGAAGAGAATCTTCCGACTGCGTCAACGAATCCAACCGTAACCTCGGATTCGCCCCATACAACTTCAGTACACCCGCCACGTCATCAACCGTGAGGTCAACTTTCCTTGTCCTCGGCTTGACACTCGGATACATAACCGCCGACTCCTCCGAGCTATGTCCTAACCCCAACAAGTGACCAATCTCATGAGTCGCCACCGACTCCAAATCAACCGCCACCGTCGATCCTCCTCTACCCTTGAAGTCATCGTCGACGACCCACGTCTCCGCCGCGTCGAGGTGAAGCCTCCCGTTCTCCGGCGCGAAGGCGTGAGCCAACGTCCCGAGAACACCGTCGAACGGTTGCCCGTCGCCGTGGTCGCCGGCGAAAAATCCGATCTTTAAATCCGCCGTGGAGTAATCGTCGGTCTCCTCGAAACTCACCGGGATCACGCTCGCCCACCGCCCGAAAGCTCGTCGGAAAACTTTTTTGACGTCGTCGGAGTTCATGTAGTCGAGTTTGTGCGTCTCCGAGAAGGCGTAGGTTAGCGTGTCGCGGTTCCACTTCGGCTTCCCGCCGAAATACGTGTAACGCGCCGTCGTGTGCGCCGCGGCGGTGGTGATCATGTGTGTGTCGCTGACGCCGCATCGCGGCGACGACATGAGAGCGACGGTGGTCGGGTCGAGTCTTCCGGTTATCGGTAAACCGAGGTTTTGTTGGTAGAGAGAAATCGCTGACTCGAGATGTCCATCGAACACGTCGGAGAAGTTGGTAGCGTCGTCGTCGTCTGTTACGTAACCAAAACGGTGGAGGTATCTTTTGAGTTCTGATACTCCGCTGACGTGGCTGCCTACTTGGACGTCTACAAGACGTGCGAAGTTATGCCACGTGGCGTTGTTGAGGTTTATTGTTTGAGTTGCGTTTGCTGTGGAGGATGTCTCCGGTGTGATCCTGGCAGAACAGAACGAGAAACAGAACGTGGTTAAGAACACAACATAGAGTGTTATTATGTTTCTATGGGTTAGGATATGAGACATGGGTTCTAATAACGAAACCCACACGGAGATTTTTGTCTGGTTGAGATTTAAAGATTCTGAATCTTTTTAAAAAGTTGATTTAAATAAGAAGTTATGTGGAGGTAGAGGTAAGATCGATGCAGAAGAAAGGTGAAAGAGAGACATAAAAAGTGGGAAAGAGTTATATAGATTCTGACGTAAGAGTACAATTTGGTCTTACTACTTGGAAGTTGGTTGGTCAGGTCAACTGAATCCTGTCCGGCTTAGGAATTACTTGAATTTAAGATAATTGATTCCTTGTTCTAAATAGGACAATGAATAACCCCGTTAAATTCGATTTTGTATTACCATTAACTAGTTAGCTTTGAATGGATATGCATGCTTTTATGTGTGACATGCATCTTGTATTCGACTATATCCATGTCCCTTGAATATTGCATATTTCTTATAGATACGAAGGGCCAATCCTTAGATTCAGAGAAGTATAAATTTTAACAACATTTTATGATTTTGAAGCGTAAGAGTTATGTATATTGTTGTTTTTTTTTAATTGGGAGGTCAAAATTAATGTTTCAACTTTCAACAATATTGGATCGACCACGCATATACAATATATGAACACTGTTTTAAACATCAAGCTAATTGAATGGCAAAAGAAAACGGTTAGAATATTGTTTACGAGTTGAGAGTTTAAAATATCAGAGAAAATCATAATAACTTTTTTTGTGCTAGCTGAATGCTAGTATGTAATTCAGGGATAAAGTCCCAAAAGTATAGATTAGTGAATTGATATGTCTACATAAAGTTGATCAACTACAAAAGTATGTGTACGTTGTTAATGGATTGAAATTCGTGACTAAAATGAGCTAATTAAGCTATGAATTTGACAAGATGATTGGGAAGGGGTTCGTTGGAGTATAGTTGAGGTTCCATTGAGTTTGTTGACCAGAATTAGGTAAATTTCAATTTCAGATATATATGTATTGATCTTTATTTATCTATTATTGAAGGATTATTATAGTTTAGATTCACGGTTATTGGGAAAGCTTGTCTGAAGAAGAAATCCATGGGGATCAGTAAGAGGGTAACGTGTGATAGGAGACAACTAACAGAAGAGCTCTCCTCTTGAAGAAGATAGGGAGGTTGAACCAATAAGGATAAACTACTTTATCAATTAGTATTATACTCCAAATAACTTTTGAGATTAGTCCTATCGTATTCAACTCTCACTGTTCACAAAACACCAGAAGTTTTGTACTTTTTTAATTTGTTACCAAAGAAGTTGAAGGCTATAACTATCTCTCGACCTAATTTCAAAGTTTTTGTAAGCATATCGTTTGTTACGTACAAGTAAGCGTGCACATTTTAATCGCCAACTGTTTCAAACAGTTACTAATGAAATGATTGTGGCATAAAAAATAAAAATTCACATACATAGTTTTTTTTTTAACTATTTATGTGAATTTACATACATAGTTATAAAATATAAATCCATGCCTATGAAGAACAAATACTTTGGCGATTAATGCTTTTACAACTCTCTGTTGGGTCTATAGTTCATTCCACTCTTGGACATGTATGTTATGATGGTTACTAAATAAAACCCCTCATTCAATGCGTGTCTCAGAAGTACTGCAGTCCAAGCTGTTATTTACAACATTCGATTTGGGCAGAGCGAAATAACATGCTCTTCAAAAACCAAGTTTCAAACTCGGAAGTCATTTTCAAGAGTACTTATAAAACAACCAGGAACCCAATCTCTGCTCACAGGACCAGATAACATTTCAAGAAGTTAATGGCCATCTTGGCTAGTCTAGCAAAGTGCCTCTGTTTCTTAAATCCTTTGTCTGTTGCCATGTTTTTCTTTGTTTTTGGTTAGTAATCTTTGTTTTCATTTATATTATATTCACAGTTAAGCAAAAAAACAAAGAAGTGGCCAGCTTCCCAACTCCAGAGGCAAATAACTCTTAGAAGTTGAGTTGCTATCTTTAAACTGGTTCAAAGGAATCTCAAACTGTTTCAAGTCCTTTCTTATCGTTGACTGACACACCCATAGTAGAGGATCTGTTAAGTCTGTTATAATGCTTTGTAAGTTCTCCTGATACTCTAGAACACTTTAGAGCTCATACATCAATGGTTATCATGTTTCATGTTTTAGTGCTCTTTCAAACTCTCATGCCACATGCTTTCATAAGTCATGTTCAGGGGCGGTTTTGAAGGTGAGCAAGCTATGTTAATGTACAGCTTTTTTATTCTTTTGTTTTATAACTATTGAGACTCATTTCAATATTTTGATTGCCTAGCTTCTCATAACTTGGCTCTTTTTATTCTCTCTCTCTCTCTTTTTTTTTTAAATCTTTTATCAAAAAAAAAACTTGGCTCTTTTTATCGTCAAAATTTGTTTTGTAGAGATCACCCGCGAAATCCAATAAAATGATAATATACCAAAGAATCTCTTTTTCATATCACATGATCGCACTATAAGATTTAAGCTATATATATTTTCTCATCTTAAACCAAGTTTTTCAATTACAATGCAGGTGGATGATGATTACATGATTACATTATGAGCTAAATATAAAGATATGAACAATTCTAAAGAACCGTGACAAATTGATGAGAATAAGAACGCAAATGTGTTTAGGAAGAATATTATTAGACTTTCAGGAGAATAATGTTACATGATGCATATGTTTTATATAGAGAACAAATCAACCTAATTTTCTAAACAAGTATAGAATAATATATTAGATAAATGTTAATTTTATATTCTTCTTGATCTTTCCAAACTCCTATTGATCTTTCTTTATCTCATCAATCTCCCAATAAATTGTAATGGACGAAGAAACAACCTGAGCAAAAGGAATATGTTGTGTACTTAACAATACACACAACCAACCAAAAATGGAAATCTCCAGTGGCCATAAGAAACCGCATTCAACCACAAAACCCTCCCAGATTCCAAGCCTCAAAGCTAAGGGAAAAGCACAACATGATGAACACTACCACAAACCAAAGACCAAGCTAGCCAACACAACATGCCAAGTTACAAAAGGTTAGCCAACACAATCCGAGGCAAGAGAGTATATGAAAAGTCAACCTGAAGATCGCATTTGATCGCTGATTTCCTATGGTCTCTGGAGATTTCCGGTTTTAGTTGTGCGTAAAGTGAGTACACAAAAATAAAATCGGTGGCAAGAAAATTTAAGTTGTCTGTAATTTCTTCATAGATTGTTCTCCATTGTTTCTTAAGACATTTGATTATTTGTTTTTCTTTTTGGTAACACTTTTGACTATTTGTTGTTTTAAAATATCATTTGACTTTTTTTGGTAGTGACAGCGTGTCACCAATATTCTGACAAAGCGAATTATAATCCATGCTAATTAATTGCTAGATTAGTTAATCATTGCGTTACATAACGTGACCACATTAATTACGCAGCATATCAGGAAGTTGATCAGTGGTCCAATCATGCAACTAAATAGAACCAGCTTCACATGCTAAAAAAGGCCAAGTTGGTGTGCATAGATCGGTTTAATATCTCAGGTTAAATTCGTCATATTTTGGATTTGGTTTGGTTATCGTGTGATCATAATAACTTGCCGGTGGACTTGCGGCGGACACGTGGGTTGATATTATATCACGTGACCCCATCACAACTACCTTTAAATTCGGACTCTTAAATTCGCTACTGAATTTCCAGATTCTCATGTACATCTGTGCTTGCTTCAATCTTTTCACTTATGTTTCCAAAAAGACATGAATAAACATTACTCCCTCTGTTTATAAATAAGTGTCACTTTACCCTTTTAATTTTGTTTCAAAAAAAGTGTCATTCTACAATCCCAATGTAATTGTACATTAAATCTATTTTTTGCCCTTTTGAATAACCAATAGTATTTTACTTAACTTATTTTCATTTAATTAAACATACATTAAATAGGGATATATTAGTCTATTATACAATTTTCTTAATTTATGTGTAAAGAGTCAAAATGACACTTATTTAAAAACAGAGGAAGTACTATTTATTGCTCTTCTTAACCTAGTTATAATTCCTTAATTGTTTTACACTATAAAAATAAAAATCATAACTTGATACTTTAGACCAAAATATTTGTAAATTCAAACTGAATATGAATAAAAAACTCGAATTCTAATCCAAGTAAACATACCAAACTAGTTGTGCAATAAATTATGGCCAGTTCTATGAAATAAACATTTTAAAATTTTTATCACAAAAATATATCTCAAAACTAAAATAAATAAAAAAATTTCTTTTTTATTTTGAAAATTTTAAATGTTTTTTAAAAAAAATTTGAAATCCTATCCTTAAAACTCTACTCCCCAACTCTAAACAAAAATGTTTAGGATTAATTAATCAAAGAGGTATAATTGTATATTTACTTATTTTTGATAAAACATTTAAGTCTATTTTTTTTTTTAACATCTTTATGTGTGATAAAAACTTTTTAGGTATATCCTAAGAAATTTCTCATAAATTATTCCAAATATCAAATATTATCAAATATTAAAAAAAAAATTATAGTTTATACAGAAACATCATTAATTATCAGTTAATTACAATTCAACTGAGGGCATAACAATCTGCAGAATATTAAAAATAATTCAACATTAACAATAAATAATTATACATAGAAAATTGAAAACACAAGAATAAAATATCAAAAGCATCAAATATTAAAAACAGAAGAAATATTGATTTATTATTTCAATACAATCTCTTCTAACTTCTCAACTGAATAACATTTCCCTAAGCGTAGCTGTGTAGTAGTTCAATTAAACCAACATGCCTTTAAAGCAAAGCACAACTGCTATAAATGGCGCACAATCCGGTTTAATATATAAATTTAATTTCGGGTTGATTGTAATTTGGTTATCGTAATTTGTACAGTTAACTAATTTAATTAATTCAGGTGAATAATTAGCAACATAAATAAAATTTCGGACATAACAAAAAGGCTACGCCTGTTCTGTCTCTTCTAGTTCTCCGTCTCTCACCACTTCCAAAAATCTCAAAACTTTACAGAGAGAAGCGAAAAGAAAGAGAGATCCTTTCCCTTTACATTTCCTTTACTCGCTTTCTCAAAACCCTAAAATCCTCCTCCGATCTGTTCCAACCTCCCATCAATAACAATCCCCTGAAACCCTCGATTTTGCTGCCGAGGGGAATGGCATTTCGGTAAAATCAGTGGCGAGAAAGAAGTCATTTTAAATCAAATGAGCCTAGCTGAGGTGTGGAGGTCGAGCGTGAAGCTCAACGGTGGAGGAAACAAGAGCGGCGCGTTATGGAAGTGGAGATCTTTCTCTAATGGTCATCATCATCAGCCCAAAAGGACCGTGATGTGGACATACGTTTGTGGCTTCATGCTTTTCACTTTAGGTGTCATCTCACTCTTCACTGGTCACGTTGTCTCTCACCTTGAGTGGTACTCTCAGCAACTAAGCAAACGGAGCTTACTTGATATGAGCCGTAGGGAACCAATTGATGTGTGGAAGTCTAAGTACTCGAAGTTCTTTTATGGATGTAGTGAAAGAGGAAAGAACTTTCCACGTAAGTTGCCAAGTTGATGTTGGATTCTAGTAGGAAAAAGTCTGAGACTTTATTGATCTATTTAGCAAGTTTTGGCTATACCTTTTTTTTTGTTTGGTACAATTTGGTTTCTGGTAATACTAATTTGGGTATGTAATGATGTACTTGTGTTCTTGTATCATTTTGTTTTTTAATCTTGTTTTGGGGCATGCAGCTGCTGTTCAAGAGCACCGGTCTAATGGGTATTTGCTGATTGCTGCTAGTGGAGGTCTGAACCAGCAAAGAACAGGAGTAAGTTAAAACTATGTCTCAAGAATAATTGTGTTTGGATATGCCCAATAGAATATACATGTTTAGAAACTAAGTGTTCTGTTTATGAGCAGATAACAGATGCAGTGGTTGTTGCAAGGATTCTTAATGCTACTTTAGTTGTACCTGAGTTGGATCACCATTCTTACTGGAAAGATGACAGGTAATTTTGACAACATTCTTATGGGAATGCATCATCTGAATCTGTTTGTAACAGAAACGTTTACTGAAGTTGCTTTGTTTTTTGTGCAGTGACTTTAATGATATTTTTGATGTTAACTGGTTCATCTCTTCCCTCACAAAAGATGTGACTATAGTAAAGAGAGTACCTGACAGAGTCATGCGGTCCATGGAGAAACCTCCTTATACCATGCGTGTGCCTCGGAAGTCTACTCCTGAGTATTATCTCGACCAAGTATTGCCTATTCTCTCCAGGAGACATGTAAGACTTGCTAACACCTTAAGAACCAAAATTGTATTACAATTATCATCTTAAACCTCCTTCTTTATATGGTTTGTTTCAGTTTTTTATGATAGAAGCTTGTTTATGTTTTTTTAAAAATTTTGCAGGTTCTACAATTGACAAAGTTCGACTATAGACTAGCAAATGATCTAGACGAAGACATGCAAAAGCTGCGTTGCAGGGTCAACTATCATGCTTTAAGATTCACTAAGAGAATACAATCTGTTGGAATGAAAGTGGTCAAGAGGATGAGAAAAATGGCCAAACGTTTTATTGCTGTCCACTTGAGGTACAATAAACAGTCCAAGTTAGATTGTTTCCCTGATTTTTTATTTTCTTAACCGTAAATAACCATAAAATTGCAGGTTTGAGCCTGACATGCTAGCCTTTTCTGGTTGTGACTTTGGCGGGGGTGAAAAAGAGCGAGCTGAGCTAGCAGAAATAAGAAAGCGATGGGATACATTGCCTGTGAGTTTCAGAAACCTCTCTTACTAAATTTGTTTTGAAGTTGCAATATCTCACTTAAGCAAATACTCACTGCAGGATCTGGACCCTCTTGAGGAAAGAAAGCGTGGGAAATGCCCTCTTACACCTCATGAAGTAGGCTTAATGCTGCGGGCTCTTGGTTTTACTAATGACACGTACATCTACGTTGCGTCTGGAGAGATATATGGTGGTGAAAAGACACTGAGACCACTTAGAGAGCTGTTCCCAAACTTTTACACTAAGGAAATGCTTGCTAATGATGAGCTCAAGCCTTTGCTTCCCTTTTCCTCACGCCTTGCCGCCATTGACTACATAGTCAGCGACGAAAGTGATGTCTTTATCACTAATAATAATGGAAACATGGCTAAGATTCTTGCAGGCCGAAGGTTACAAAGCCTTTCTACTTGTTCCCATTATTAGTCCACTTAACTCACAAAACATAAGATTTGATCAGTTCTGAATATGTGATTGCAGGAGGTATATGGGGCACAAGAGGACTATCAGGCCAAATGCAAAGAAGCTTAGTGCTCTGTTCATGGACCGAGAAAAGATGGAGTGGCACACTTTCGCCAAGAAAGTTAAATCTTGTCAGCGAGGATTCATGGGTGATCCTGATGAGTTCAAGCCAGGACGTGGTGAGTTCCATGAGTACCCGCAGGCTTGCATCTGTCAGAGACCCTTCTCTTACGACAAAACCTCAAAGGAAGATGAAGAAGAAGACATACAAGAAGAGGTCCACAACAACACCAGCTCTGGACATGGTCATTTGTCTTCAGTAGACCATGAACGGGACGAAGTGTTCCCAGACTAGTATATTTATCATCAGTGCAGGTTTGCTGGATTTTACTGTAACCAGGTATGTTAAACTTTGAAGGAGAATAGTAAGAATACAAGGATAAGAAAGGTACATGGTTTTGATAACAAGTGTTTGTTGTGTTGTTTCAGCTGTTGTAAGGAGATTTGATCAACACATGTAGAGGAGAGAGGTATAGGAGTTTCCCCACGTAGCTACTTGTTGCTTCAAGTGTTTATAGATACTTCTATCTAGTAGGCATACATAACACCCACCTCTCTTTTTTGTTTCTTTCCCAGTTTGAAAAACCACCTAAACTATCTCATGTATTTTATCTTATTATATTACCTCAAATCTAGTTTTCTTCTTTTGGGTTCTAAACAGTTTGTTTTCCTTTTCTTGTATTCTCTAGATTTCTCAAATGTAAAATCAAGTTATTTCCTCTGATTCTTTACAGTTTTCATTTGTATTATCAAGTTATTTCCTCTGATTCTTCACAGTTTTCATTTGTATTATTTTGAAATCCAAAAAAACAAACAAAATTGGATTATATTTTCAGTTTCAGTTCAAATTAAATTGTTTTTTTGTTCCTTCTCAGGATTCCCCTATTTGATTAAAAAAATTTGGAATTTAAGTCATTAATTAACCACGGCCCAATATATTATCAGCCACATAATATTCGAAGAGGTTTGAATACAGTGCGTTCGGCCTAGACCTTCTCACTGCACCAGAGGTTTTCACTTGGTCACAAGACTCACAACACTATCGCACAAGCGTAACAACCAACACACTAAGCGTCTAACATCTCAACACGTGTCCAAGCCCCCAAATGGAATATTTCCATTGGTAGTATCTCTTAACCGCAGTACCACGTCAGCATTTTTTAATAATCACCTTCGATCATTCTCGTCTCCGTTTGTTTGCATTTCTACCCCGAGAAGCACTTTGAATCTGCAAAATCGATTTTCCGCCGGAAAATGCGATCGGAGCTCGGAAACTGGTAATCCATCTCTCATCACACTCTCTCAGATCACTAATGATTTCATCGAACTTCCTTAGATTCAACTCGATTACTCTCTCTCGTCGTGCATTAGAAACTTCTACGAATGTTCCTGTTTGTTTGCTGATAACATTGCTTAATCTCAACGTTTCGTGATGTCAATAAAAAAAAAAAAATCTCAACGTTTTGGATTCCACGCGCGTTAAGTAGTTTTCACTCAGTTATTGGCTTGTGCTAAGCTTTTATAGAGCTGATTCATCGTGTATCGTAACGGTCATCATCGATTTGAAGTTGAAATTCGAATCGCAGGTGTTTCCTAGAGTTCCTCGTTTCTAATGCTGCTCTTTGTTCTTTTCCTGTAGAGTAAAGTGCTTAATCTTAACGTTTCTTCTCCGATTCCATGTGCATTAAGTAGTTTTCACTCAGTTATTGGATTTGCTAAGCTTTTCTAGAGATGATTCATCGTGTATAGTAACGGCCATGATCGATTTGAAGTTGTAAAATAATGTGAAAGTGTGATTGTATTAAGGCTAACAGCCGAATATATATATATATATACAACGTATCTCTCCTAATACCATGTGAATATGGATAAATACAATATGTAAGTTATCATTATCTCTAACTTAGTCCTTATCTCTATAAGTTGTAATCGAGTTCTAACGCTGCGGTTTGTTCTTTTCTTGTAGAGTAACTTTGGCGCTATTCTCAGTGTTAACGATCGGAGCATGGGGAAGATGATTACAACGTTAGTAGTGTTATTATCATTGCTCTCATTACTCCCGTTTCCATCGGAATCAGCGGTTTCGAGTGTGGATCTAGGTTCAGAATGGGTGAAAGTCGCTGTTGTTAACCTAAAACGAGGACAGAGTCCAATCTCTGTAGCAATCAACGAGATGTCAAAGAGGAAATCTCCATCTTTAGTAGCGTTTCACTCTGGTGATAGGTTACTAGGCGAGGAAGCTGCAGGGATCACGGCTCGTTACCCGAATAAAGTTTACTCACAGCTTAGGGACATGGTGGGGAAGCCTTTCAAACACGTCAAGGATTTTATCGATTCTGTTTACTTACCGTTTGATATAGTGGAGGATTCTAGAGGTGCGGTTGGTGTTAAGATTGATGACGGTGCGACTGTTTACTCGGTGGAGGAGTTGTTGGCTATGATCTTGGGGTATGGATCAGATCTTGCTGAGTTTCATGCGAAGATTCCGGTTAAGGATATGGTTGTTTCGGTTCCGCCTTACTTTGGGCAGGCTGAGAGACGGGGTTTGATCCAGGCTTCTCAGTTGGCTGGGGTTAATGTTTTGTCGCTGGTTCATGAGCATTCCGGTGCAGCTTTGCAGTATGGGATTGATAAGGATTTCTCTAATGGGTCGAGGAATGTTGTATTTTATGATATGGGTTCGAGTAGTACTTATGCAGCTCTTGTTTATTACTCTGCTTATGATGAGAAGGAATTTGGCAAGAATGTTTCTGTCAACCAGTTTCAGGTTGGTAAATAATGCTATTGTTTTACATTGTATTTTGTGTCATAAGCGCTGCCTAGTTGTGGTAATTTTTTTAGTTTGGTGTCAGTTGTTTACTGGTTTTATATAATTATGTAAATGCAGGTCAAGGATGTTAGATGGGACTCGGGACTTGGAGGACAGAGTATGGAGATGCGCTTGGTAGAGTACTTTGCAGATGAGTTTAATAAACAGCTCGGTAATGGTGTTGATGTCAGGAAGTTCCCTAAAGCAATGGCTAAATTGAAAAAACAAGTCAAACGTACAAAGGAAATTTTGAGTGCAAACACTGCAGCTCCAATATCTGTTGAATCTCTTCATGATGATCGTGACTTCAGGTATAACTAAACTTTCTTCATTTTCCTAGGCACCTAACCTTGGATGAGAAGTGTTGAAATGATCTCACATGCTCGAGTTTGTATCTTGGTTGTTCTGATTTATTGTGAAATTTTAACTTTACATTTTCTTGCAGGAGCACGATTTCCCGTGAGAAGTTTGAGGAACTATGCAAAGATCTTTGGGAGAGATCTCTGACACCTTTGAAAGATGTGCTCAAGCATTCAGGTTTGAAGATTGATGATATATATGCAGTGGAGCTAATAGGAGGAGCTACTAGAGTCCCCAAACTACAGGTAAATATTCTTGTACCTGAAGCTAATCAATTTTACTTCTTCATCCAAAATTGTCCTTTATCTGATTTTTTATTCTTTCTCTTATATATTACAGAGCACGATCCAGGAATTTATTGGAAAGCAAGATTTAGACAAACATCTGGATGCTGATGAGGCTATTGTCCTTGGCTCAGCACTGCATGCTGCTAACTTGAGCGATGGAATCAAATTGAAACGTAGGCTAGGTATAGTTGATGGTTCCCCCTATGGTTTCTTAGTTGAGCTGGACGGCCCAAATGTAAAGAAAGATGAGAGCACAAAGCAACAACTCGTACCACGGATGAAAAAGCTACCGAGCAAGGTACTTCACTACATTCAAAATCTTTAGAAGCTTAGAAAATGTTTTCTCTGTCTTGTAATAATAATACTGTGTACCTGATTCTCTCACAGATGTTCAGATCCTTTGTCCTTGACAAAGATTTTGATGTGTCACTTGCTTATGAGTCCGGAGACATCCTACCCCCAGGAATTACCTCCCCTGTGTTTGCACAGTATTCTGTATCTGGCTTGGCGGATGCAACTGAGAAGTAAGAGCTTACAACTTGCTTTTCGTTTAAAGGAAACAATGTTGTTTCAGTAAATTTAACTTTTTGATCTGGACAGATATTCTTCCCGGAATCTATCAGCACCTATCAAAGCAAATTTGCATTTCTCTTTAAGTAGAAGTGGGATTCTCAGTCTAGATCGGGGAGATGCTGTCATTGAAATCACAGAATGGGTAGAAGTTCCTAAGAAGAACGTAACTGTTGATAATAACACAACCTCAACAACAGGCAATGCCTCTACTGGAGCTGCCTCTGATGAGAATTCAAAAGAAAACAAAGAGGAGTTACAAGCTGATGCTGAAAACAGCACTGATTCAAATACAACCGCAGAAGAACCAGCTGTAGTTGAACTGGGCACAGAAAAAAAGCTGAAGAAGCGAACATTCAGGGTTCCTCTGAAGGTGCGTATTCTGGCTTACTGTTTCCAAGATTTTCTTAATTCGTGTCAGTATCACTAACCAATTCTGTGTGAATACTTGATTTGTAGGTAGTTGAGAAAACTGTTGGACCTGGAGCACCTTTTACGAAAGAGTCCCTTGCTGAAGCCAAGATAAAATTAGAAGCCTTGGACAAGAAAGATAGGGAAAGAAGAAGAACGGCTGAGTTGAAAAACAACCTTGAATCTTACGTTTATGCTACCAAAGAGAAGGTACATATCACTTCTTTGGCTACTTCATTGTTTTTTATTGCTGAAGTCGTCGCTTTCCGTATACCTATTATGTTGTTTTAGTTAGCATTCTTCTCAAAACTCAAAGCTTTGGTTTTATTTTGGTCATTGTACAGCTAGAAACACCCGAATTTGAAAAAGTTTCCACCCAAGAAGAGCGCAAGGCGTTTGTTGAGAAGCTTGATGAGGCAAGCATCAATTTTCTTTTGAACAATATATATCATTGGGCTCCAACGATGAGGGTAAGCGTTTGACAGTGATGAGTGTCTTGAGTGCTTTCAGGTGCAAGATTGGCTTTACATGGACGGCGAAGATGCTAATGCCACAGAGTTTCAGGACCGTCTTGACTCACTAAAAGCCATTGGCAGTCCCATATCTTTACGGTTTGTTCTCTGCTCATACTTTGATCGAACCTGAGCCACCTGTAAACATTCTCACAAAATTTCTCACAAAAACATTTGCTACACATGTATCTGTACAGATCAGAAGAGCTAACAGCACGACCAGTAGCAGTTGAATACGCTCAAAAATACCTAGCCGAAGTGAAAGAGGTACATTTTGCAAGTTTTCTAATGATTAAGTAAGAAACAATCCGGCTGAGTTTCACCCACAATTGCAGATCATAAAAGAGTGGGAGACGAACAAAACTTGGCTTCCAAAAGAAAAAATCGACGAGGTTGTTTAGCTCACCCTTAAGTAAAAACACACACACGCACAGCTCTCTTTAGAAACATGTTGGTGAGCACTGATAAAACTTTTCTTCTACTACTTATTAAGGTGTCAAAGGAAGCAGAGAAAGTAAAAAGCTGGTTGGAGAAGAATGAAGCTGAGCAGAAAAAGTGAGTGTTGCTTCATTTTCTCTTTTATTTTTAATCTCTTCTAAAATTAGAGAGAGTTAACATGACAAAACTTTGTCACAGGACTGCTCTCTGGAGCAAGCCAGTGTTCACGTCCGATGAAGTGTACGCCAAAGTATTTACTCTGCAAGACAAGGTAGCACGAAAAGAGTTTTGATAGATAAATTAAAGTCGTAAAATGGGATTTTCATTTAATTTGGGTGATATTGAAAATGTAGGTGACTAAGGTTAATAGGATTCCAAAGCCAAAGCCAAAGATAGAGAAAGCAACCAAGAAGGAGAACACAACGAAGGAGGAACAATCAAATTCCTCCACCAATTCTTCTGAATCTGCCGAAGAAGAAGAAGAGCACGAGGAGCTTTGATTAACATATATTTATATTTAATAACAGACTTTATTTTTGTGTGTGTTCCAAGTGTCAAAAAATAGGAAGGATAGTAAAGCCAAGCTGAAATGAGCAAAAATAATTTTATATGTTTTCTTATCTTTTTCACATTGGAATAGGGATACTAATATCAAGTTTTGGTCTCTTTTTACATTTGAAACTTTAATATAGTGGAAATTCACATTCAACATCGTTATTCTATGCTTTGATGTTTTTATCATAAAATGTAAAAACCATAGACATACAGGACAAAGCTGATAATCCAATTAGGATTTCATTACGTTACGGTAATAGAGGTATCATCGACAAAGCAGCTCATCTTGCAAACGCTGAGAATAATGAAAATTTCAGGTTTATCAAAAGTTTTGATAAGTGAATTAACCTTTGCCTTTTATATATTAGTTAATTATTTATGTACGATTTCATTCATTAACACTTTTCCTCACACTCAAACATGAGCAATTGTGGGAACAACAAAGTAGTCCAATATATTAAACATCAATTGTTTTGGATTATTGTTGAGATGAGCAAAAAGGATTTTATTTCCTTTCTCATCTTATAATAAAAGGAATACCAATACCAAGTTTAGGTCTCATTTTACATTTGAAACATTAATATAATGGAATTTCATATTCAACGTCGTTATTCTATGCTTTTATGTCGATATTTGATCCCATCGGCGTAGGCGGCTACCCATCTGGTAAAATCCGGTGAATAAGCTTCCACTGATTTAACCACTTTTCTCGTGGTATCATCAGTAATGTCATCCACATTATCTTTCTTTACATCAAAAAGTGACATGTCACATAAGCACATGACTTCTCACCACTAAAGGCAATCACAATTTGAATCATATATATCCAGTGTTCAATGCACAATGGTACTAAACCGACAATAATCTCCACGGCTTCTTATCTCCTTCGTCTCGTCTTTATAGCCTCTTCAACGTCGACAAAGCTTTACAATAATTCCTTCTTTAATTTTTTCACATACATTTCTAATTATAAGAATGTGTATGACAAATATATTTAAGTTAACACTTACCGAGTGTAGGTTTGTATTTGTGGTATCAGCTTTTGAGTTTTTTTTGTTTTTTGTCAACAACTTTTGAGTTATCCTAACTAATATGCTTGTCTAACAGTCTATGACTAAGTAGCAAGTTGCAACTGATGCATTAATGCAATTCCCATTATATATACTAGTTTCTTTATGGTTAACATTTGTTTGTGGAGACAAAACAAAAAAAAATAGTTGGGGAAAGATTAGATACAAACAATAGAAATTAAAGAAGAGCGTCGGTGTGAAGGTGATGATTAAAAACGCGTGGGAGATAGAAGAATAGAAGAAGCAGAGAAAAGACACATACCATAATAAACACATTGAAATCAGGTGGAGGATGTCGTTTCAAGCTGTGTTGTACACTTGACACTACAGCTCACGTACACCCAATCAATTCATGTTCAGTTCAACCAAACAAATTCAATGCAATACCTTTTGAAAAACAAAATTGTGGGTCAACATCTTGTTTCTATATCCTTAGAATTAATATTTTTCTATATCCTTAGAATTAATATTTATAACTTTTCTTATAGAAAATCAGTTTTAATTATCTCTAGTTTAATACAGTGCATTGTTTGTTTACTTGTAACATCCAGACTGAATAAACTAACAATGGAACTAAGATATTTAACACACCAGTTAACTTGGTCTAACCATCTCTAGTTACTACAGTGCATTGTTAGTTTACTTGTAACATCCAAAATAAGATATTTAACACACCAGTTAACTTGATCTAACCATCTCTAGTTTAAAACAGTGCATTGTTGGTTTATTTGTAACATCCAAACTAAGATATCTAACACACCAGTTAACTTGATCTCACCATCTCTAGATAAACTCACAATGTTAACACAAAAGGAGAATGTCTCTAATAATTTAGGGACACACGTACATACATGTTAGAACTTGATCTGTTTAAGCATTAACTGTATGTTATACTCTTACGGTAGGTAAATCAGACACCTAATCCCAATTCAAAATTACCTTTCCTAAATTAGATTGGCATCTACCGAAATTTTCGGCTTGTTAGCTAGTCAATGATGAACTTATGAGAATAACTTTTCTTAGAGCTTTGGTCAATTGTAAAATCAATGTAATACTAAGAAAAACAAAAGAGAAATTGTAATTATAGTTTGGTATGTAAAGTGTGGTGGGACTTTCAAGTTTCAATCAATAATTTTCTGTTTATATTAATGCACCGCCATAATGTGATAGTGAAAACGACTTTGCACCAACCAAAATATTAATTTCCCCTCATGCATGATTTTGATCTTCCTTCGGCCTTTTAATTTGTACATCTTTTTCTCTTTAGGACACTGACTTCAATCACCTTACAAAAGCGACTCCATTGAACCTTGCGTTTCATACTTTCATGTTCTAATTATTATTCAATCCTTCAATTTTTAATAAAATAATAAGAATGCATTTTTGTACGTAGTTTTGATTCAACCAGTAGAGTATCTCAAACAAGTAAGAGAGTTTCCTTTTTGAGCTTGACACGAGCTATATTTGTATAAATACTGTAACAAAAGCAAAAAAATAATTGTTAAGTTGATTAATCTCACAACCTACATGAGTATTACCCTCATTATTATATTCTTTTTTAATTCAGTTGACTAAAGAAAAGAGAAACTATATAACCTATGATGGGCCAGACAACACCATCGCATAGCATTATTGGAGTCTGTTTAGTTTCATTAAATACACATAATTTGCAGGTTATCTACCAATCCCAAATCGACAAACGAACTATCTCGTCTGGAAACTGGACAAAGTAAATATAAAAGAAAAAAGGGACTATATGAAGATGATATAACCATGCACTGCCAAAATAACTTACGTTGAGAAAAATACTACTATCAAAGTATTAACCAAAAATCCCTGACCACAATACGTAACGTATGAGAAACGGATATCCATCAACTGATTCTAGCAGTCTCAATGCATAGCTATTATTCTTTTAGAAGTTTTTAAAAGAGAATAGTACTTTGTGAAAGCAAAGTAATTATTTCCACTAACATCTAAACATCGATTTTTTATATAACCTATTGATTGATCACGTCAGTCTCAGAAAAACATATATTTAACGATATAGAGTAGATTAACTAACACTTTATTTGATTCGAGTTTGTACTATTGTCCGACTAATGTCAAGATGGCTCATCATTTATTATCGGATTACCACAGAAACTGTTTAGACCAAAGTCCAACTTACATTGGATATAATTTTGTTTCAAACAAAACTCACACCGGAAATATTATAGCAGTCTCAGGCCTCGTCAACCACTTGACTACAGACATGCGGGCAAAAAATCAACATAAAAAAAACAAAAAGATTAAGAAATCAAACAACGAAATCATGACGGTTAACAGAAAAAAAAAATCATGAGCACCTTGAAAATCACGTACAGAAAAGAGAAAACCTTTTAGATATTGTCTTATTAGATTAAGTAAAAATGAATGGATGTGCATGAGTGATTTTAAACTAAAAATAATCTAAGTTTGAAAAATTTGTCGATATGATTATCCTAAAATAAATTTTCATTATAAGTACTCTTCGATAAGATGATATATATATATATATATATATATATGCCCATAAGTTTTAGTTGCTTCATCTTAGCAAAAAAAAAGGTTTTAATTGCTGCAGCTACATTGTTGTTTATATACACGGTCGAGATTTTGGAGGTTATAGATGATTTTTTAAAAATTTCAACTAAAATATTTTTATAACTAATTTGGGGACTAAAAGAAAAATTTGAGAACTTATATACATATAATTTTTGTCAAAATTTATGGAGATCTAAAACGAATGTTTCAACAGACATGACCTAGAACCGGCCATGTTTATATACCTCTCAATCTTTTTTACAAATTTCACATCATGCAATATTATCCCATATACTTTCCATGTGGAAGTCTTTGCATACTGATGTGATGTTTAACTAATGATAAATAATTGTTTATAGTTTAAAAAAATAATTATTTATGATAAAATATCCATATCAATCGCAATCCGTAACAGGTAAATTGTGCATGTATAATTATATTTTATATGTTAACATCAAACTCCACTATAACCAAAAACCACCTTGATCGTTAATTAAAAATTATAACCCATGAAGTAAAACCCAAAATAAAAATTTCTATTGGAGATGAAACAAAACCTATTGAAACTTCATATACTTATCTAAATTAACTAAAATCTACTTAACTAAATACTTTAGTTAACTACATAAATGTATATTGAGAAAACTAGAATATTAAATTATAGTTTTACTTTTTGTAATTATTTTTTGTGGCCAAATTAGGCCGAACTTGAATTAGCATCAAACCAAGTTATTAAATAAATAATATAAATATTGCTTTCCAATAAAAAAAAATTTATATTAAAATACCTTAAATTTGATATCCAATCTTACTTCCATATAAAAAATAAATTTTTACTGGAGGTGAATGGGCTTATGGTAATTTCAAATTTGCCCCAACCCATTCATTTTTATAAAAGATTTGGTGTCAGAAATATTATCAAAATCAAATATATGAAAGATTGGAACTCTTCTTTATGATGAGTTATGGGGTTAGGTTATAAGATTTTTATAATTAAATGGAAATAAATAGAATTGTTCGTTAAATTGTGACTATCATTTTATAGAATATCTATAATTGGTATGCTTATTTTTCATAATATGTTTTATGTAATTAAAATAATAATAATATTTGAAGAAAGATAAAATAAAATATAATAAGCACAAGATCCACATCTTGAAATAAAACTTGCCTTGTCAGAGCTGTTCTATTTGACTCGTAAGTGTATAGCCATATCTTATCTCTCCCTCTATATATATACATCAACCCTGGAACGTGTCAGTGTGTGCATCTGATCAAATATACAAGATATTGTCTTCACATAGACAAAAACAATAAACAAATAGATTCTACACAGTGAGCAAGTGATCAAATATCTCACAAGACAGAGATCTAATCCAAATGGATCAGGTGCGCACGTTAAACTCGATTCCATATGGACTACAAGAAGTAGCAGAGGTCGAAGAAATCGAGGAAGACAACGATAACGAGAGCATGACTTTGTCTTCGGTGCCTGAAAATGAGACGTCGGAGTGTTCTTCGTCTCCGGAGACGTATCCACCGCTCCCTCCTCGGCCTAAAACTCCAAGAGAGCCGATGGAGTTTCTATGTAGGTCATGGAGCAGTTCTACGTCTGAGATAACTTTAGCTTTGTCCTCTCAGAAATCTAGTAAACAACTCAACAAAACCCATAAACTTTCTGAGTTGGTCGGCGTCACTTCGCCGGCTCCGGCTCCGGTACCACCGCTGCAACTCGTAAGCCGTCCCTTGCTTTAATCTTCATTAAGAAAGTATGGTTACGTCTGTATTCATTAAGAAATTAATTATGATACTGATTACTGTTAAAAATTAAATACTCTTGGACGGAAGCAAATGAAGTATCTTTACAAAAAAAAAGTTATTTTTAAATCAACTACACATTTATTTAAATTAGAAAAAAAAACACTTCCTCATTAAATATTGTAATTAGTTTTCACGTTTGGGTTGACGAAAAACACTCACGTTTGTAAACGTTTTATTATTCTAATAAATAAATGAATTGCATAGAGGAATTTTAGTAGAAAATATCATAAAATACGAGAACTATAAGAAGTAAAACATTATTTTCCAATTGTAGAAAAAACATTATTTTCAAGATCTACGTTTAACGTCCACATTTTTAGTTTAAAATGATTTCATTAATAATATGTGTTTTTTTCAAAAAAGAAATAATATATGTGATACGAAACTGCTTATTCTAAAAATAAAAAGAATATGCTAGTTATCTTCTGGGCCATATTACATTATAGGGCCGAAATCATATAAGTCTCCAATTCTATTAAAAGCCCATGAGATTTAAATTGTATCTTCGACAGGCGGAAAAAACGGCGAGCGTGTTTCACGCGCGGCGAACAAGTGCCATCGGAAAATGGTTCCACCACCGAGATTTTGTAGGCGGGAAGATTACCGGCATAAGTAAGCGAGATAAATCTCGTTATGAGAACGCGCATCTTCACACCGCCGTCTCCATCGCGTCTCTCGCGACGGCCATCGCCGCCGTGACAGCTTCGGGAAACCAAGACGGCGCCTTCATGGATTCAAAAATGAGCTCAGCGCTGGCCTCTGCATCTGAGCTGTTAGCTTCTCACTGCGTCGAATTGGCTGAGCTCTCCGGCGCCGGTCACGATCGCGTCGTCTCTGCTGTTCGATCCGCCGTGGATGTTCGTGGACCCGGAGATTTGCTGACTCTAACAGCTGCAGCCGCAACAGGTATATTCTCTGGTTCATTCTGACATCGTTGTCGGAAATTTGGAAGCGACAACTTCTAATGCACTTTGAGTGATTGCAGTTTGGTTTTTGGTAATAATATATTTATGTTTCTGTTTTTTTTTGGGTGAATGTAGCATTGAGAGGAGAAGCAGCTCTAAGGACAAGACTACCAAAGGAAGCTAAGAACAGTGCAGCTATAAGCCCTTGTGAAAGAGCACTACCAGAGACTCATGATTGCTCTTCTGAGCTGGATTCCTCCAGCACAACCACTGAGGAGCAGACATCTTCACAGGGAGTTGAAGAATCAGATTTGGCCTGTAATGGAGAGCTAATGCAGTGCACACAAAATGGTAAGAGATTCTGTTGTTCTTCGATTTTTGTATGCAAATAACTTACCATGACACTGATGAATTGCCTCATGGACTTTCTTCCAGGAGTTTTGAGGTGGAAGCATATGAAAGTATACATCAACAAGAAATCACAGGTTATAATACTCAATGGACGCAAAAAAAAAAAAGGTTCTATAATTATCAGATTACTTGACATTTGGGTCGCTTTCTTTTTGCAGGTTGTGGTAGAAATCAAAAGCAAACACGTTAGAGGAGCCTTCTCCATGAAAAGCAAAGGTAGTTATCACCTTCAAGTAAATCTTGGGACTTTGTTAACTAATGCTTACAGTAAAAATCCAATGGTTGCAGGTATTGTGAATGATGTATGCGAGACAGTCTCGGGCCTGCAAAATGTAAAAGAAGAAGAAAACACAGAAGAAAAAGAGCTCTATTTCGGAATAAGCACAGGGAAAGGTCTAACGAAATTCAAGTGCAAGAGCAAGGCTGATAAGCAGACATGGGTGGATAACATCCGGAATCTTCTTCATCGAGTAACTGCTATTGAGGCTATCAAAACTTCTCTTCAAACTACAAACATTGGCGATAGTACATAAGTTATATCTTGTGTTAATCGTTATTGAGTATGTGTAGTGTTCTTTTTTTTCATCTTCTCTTGTTTTAATTTCAGTTGTAAACAATTTTTTTTTTGAAATAATGAAGATGATTATAATAAGGCCTCACCGGAGGAGTGTTCCAGGTGGACTGGGACAGCTTTTTCCTCGATGACAATCCCAGTGAGTTTCTTCTGCCTCTCTGACCAATCGTCTATAGTCTCCACTTAATACTCGAGAAAACTCACAACCATGGTTTATACAATGCAACAAAACAGTAGTAAGTAGTCATCAGAAATTGCAGGGACTAAAATAAAAGTAATACATTAACACATTGTTTTCAACTTGGTCCAAAAGCAGTAAAGAGAGATTACCAAGTTTAGATATTACCTCTTAGCTTTCTTGTTGGTATCAACCTTCAACACCAGGGACTTTGTGCTTTTGCTTCTTCTGCTCTGAGTTTTCTTTGGCTGAGCCTCTTCGATGTCTTTAAGCTTGAAGTAATGAGGAGCTATTTCAACAAGCCACTCAGGCTTCATCTCGGTTACATGCCTCATATACTCCTTGGTAGTAAGCACTAGTTCATGATACACCAACCACTTCTTAGGTGGCGCCCCAAATAAGCCAGAGTTAGGATGTACATAAACCGTCTGAGGTTCTCTCACTCTTTTGTATGATCCATCCTTCTGCAACTTAGCAGAATGAGGAAAGAATCCAGCCACGATCGCCTTCTTAACCGCGTCAAGATCATCAGGGTTTGAAGTAAGTTCTACTCCAATCTTCTTTAAAAGTCCAGCTAGCTGTTCACGTATATCTCTAGCTCTTCTCATACTCTTGCTTTGGATGTAGTTCTCGTAGCACCATTGACTTGAGTAGTCCATTTCCTTCCACGTGTTGTACACTCTTAACAAGGCAATGTGATCACCGGCCTTCTCTGTGTAGAAATTCATCCGAGCATTGTCAGCAAGATACTGTTGGTTCTTACTAGGACGGTAAAAGATGGAGCTCCCTGTAGACAACATGGCGGCTATAGTGATTATCTCAACCGAGCACTTGTACTTCTCCGAGCCAACAATCATCTTTGATAGCATTGGATCAACAGGAAACTCAACCATCCTTTCACCCAGCTTAGTAATCTCACTTTTTGCATCCAAAGCACCAAGAGCATAGAGCAATTCCAAAGCCTTAACTAGAGAGTTGTCAGATGGAGGATCCATGAAGTCGAAGTGGTACACATCATTGATGCCAAGACTCTTCAAAGTAAGTACAACACTTGCAAGGTTTGCTCTTTTCACTTCAGGTACCGTTGTGGCCTCCAAGTCCTTCACGTTGTACAGCCTGAAACATTTCCCCGGACCGGTTCTTCCAGACCGACCAGCTCGTTGCTCTGCGGAAGCCTTGGAGATAGGAGTTTCAAGAAGTGACTCCATTCCGGTTTTTGGATCGTAAGAGTTGATCTTGCAGTACCCTGGATCAACCACGTACCTAATCCCATCAATGGTTAACGATGTTTCCGCAATATTAGTAGCCAGGACAACTTTCCGTGTCCCTTTAGCAGCTGGTTCAAACACTTTCGCTTGTAGTTCTGTCGGGAGGTTTGAGTAGATAGGACAGATAATGATCTCAGAGCTCTTTGAACCCAAATCTTTCATCCTTTGCTTCAACTTCGTTTCCGCTGTTTCAATCTCTTCTTGTCCGGTAAGGAAAACCAAAACGTCTCCAAGTGGCTCAGTCTGATGAATCTGAAACACAGTGCGTATCGCTGTCTCCAAGCGGTCAGGTTCAGGACATTTCTGAAATAGCTTCTCAACTGGATATCTTCTTCCCGGGATCGGGTAGATCATAGCCGAATCAAAATATTCAGAAAACTTCTTAGCTTCAAGCGTTGCACTAGAGATGATCAGCCTCAGATCAGGCCTAGCCTTTGCTAAATCCTTCACTAATCCAAAGAGAATATCAGTGGACAAGGTTCTCTCATGCGCCTCATCAACCATGATGACACTATAGCTACCGAGTGTCGGTTCAATGAGAAGCTCTCTCAACAGCATCCCATCAGTCATGTACTTAATAACCGTCTTCTCTGAAGTACAGTCTTCGAATCTAATGGAGTATCCAACCTCATGTCCGAGCTTTACACCCAACTCTTGAGCCACTCTGGAAGCAACGCTCATTGCAGCAACTCTCCGTGGCTGAGTACAACCGATCTTTCCACGCTTAGTGTAACCAGCTTCTTGAAGATACTGCGGTATCTGCGTTGTCTTCCCCGACCCTGTCTCCCCAACAATCACAAGAATCTGATTCTCTTCAATGTGTTTCAGCAACTCATCTCTGTACGCATAAATAGGAAGCATCTTCCTATCTTCCTTACCCCTTTCCGCAACTGTTCTCGACTCGTCTTTCTCAGCTTCCACCTCATCACATGTCTCAACTAACCTTGCCACCTCATCAAACACAAACTCATACCCATCGTAAACTCCCTTCTTGTTCTTAGAACCAAACCTCAACGTCGCCTTCTGAGCCTGATGATCCTCCCAAGCTTCTCTCTCCGTCTTCCCTCTCTCCCTCGTCATCTCACCATCACCATACCGTTCCTTCCCCACACCAAACCTCTTCCTCTGATCAACACCACCTTCTCTATCATACGCATCTGGAATCTTATAACAACCAACATCATCCCACGTCGTGTTCAACAGCTTATACAATTCCTTCTTGTACCTAAACTCAACTTCTTCCTTCTCTGTTAACTTCACACCTTCGAAACGCGAAAGCTCGAACTCCACCTGTTCCTTAAACTCCTCCACCTTCTTACTCTCCCTCCTCTTCAGATACTCTCGTCTCGCTTCTTCTCTTAACCTCGCTATCTCGTAATTCCCTAAAACCTTTCCCTCTTCTTCTTCTTTCTCCTCTGATTCTTCTCTTCTCCTCTTCCTAAAGCTTTTCTTTGGGATATTCAATTTGAATTTCACAGTGACGGAACCGAGAGATGGCTTTTCATCCGATGCTACAGTTTCTTCTACGTCTAGATCCATATCGACAATCGATGATGATCGTACCTGAACTTTCGAATGCATCTCGAAGGTCTTCTTCATCTCCAAATCGTTGATCTCGACGGAGAAAACGGAAAGCGGATTGGAATTGTAAGGGAGATTGTGAAATCGCAAACCCTAATTTCGTATGGTTGCCTCCGAGTTGTGTGTTTAGAGTTGTTAACCGTGAAGACCGGAGCCTCACCTCTATTTATAGTTCTCTTACGGACGCGAATTTCCTTTTTTTCTTCTGGCCCGTTTTTTCCTTTTGTTTATGGGTTTTAAAGGATGAGAAAAGTCTAAGTATACGTGATAAACAAGAAAAACACGTGTTTTTTTTTTTAATTTACTTTCATTGCTTTTAGAACGTGAAAGAATACAGATATTTATCCTATATATTTAGAGTGTGGCTGGATGTATTTGAATTTAACTTTTCCAAGCCAATCAGGTAGGGGTGGGACAGATCAGATATCCGAATTTGAGATATCCGGATCCTGGTTCAACGAATCCATAAAATTTCTATCAAGATTTGGATTTGGACCCTCCAGATATCTAGGGTCCGGATATCCGTACTAAAACTCGAATACCCACGGATATCCGTATATATTTTTTTATATAAAAAAGCAAAATTAAATTAAAATTTGAAATTAAGTATTTATTTATTCTATTAAAAATTATTATTTTGCAAAAAGTTAAAATAAAATAATATAATTTTATAATAAAATTGAGTTATTGTTATTTTAAATAAAAATATATAATATATCTATATAAGTATAATTATATTTTAAATATTTTAAAAATATTTAGTGGACTCGAATCTAGATCCGGGTATTCGGACTAAAAATTTCACTATTCGGATCCGGATTCGCCGGATCCGTAAAATCACTATTAAGATCAGGACCCTTCGGATATCCGTTTTTTCGGAGTGGTCTTAGATCGGATAGCGGATATTAAATCTCAGCCCTACAATAAGGTGATATAATAATGTTTTCAGCCTATTTACTCCAAAAGTGAAGAAAAACTAATAAAAGCAAATAAGTTTATCCCCAAGAGCATGTTTATTTGGGGTCCTTAGTGGGGTTCTTTGTGCGTGGGCCCCCACAAAATTCTTAAGGATCGGTTACAAAAACTACTAATTAAGAATCGATTTTAATGAATTTTTTACACCGTTCACTGGTCTCACTGACACGTGACGGTCCGCGATTGGTTTACTTCTTAATTTTTTTTAAGACAAAAAAATCTAAGAAATCCATGGTCTAAATACTGAAAAGTTTTACTCCAATTTACTTTAAATTATCTTTTATTTCCACCTCATTTTTCCACCAATTTTCACCATGAGTAACAAATCACATTCTCCATGACTTTTTCCTCCAATCTAAACACTGAAAAGTCCAATTTACTTTAAATTTTCTTTTATTTCCACCTCATTATTCCACCAATTTTCTCCATGAGTGACAAATCACATTCTTAATTTCAATTCAAGTAAGACCAACCTAGAATTTCATTTATATTTCTAGGTAAACTTTAATAAAACTATAGAACCAATTTTCATTTTAATTATTGTTTGATTTGTTTTTGACTTCTATTTTAATGATTTTCTTAGCTAACCTAATGTTTAATATTTATTTTTTATTTAAAACGTCGTATGGGAATGCTAAACTTGATCAGTAAAATAAATAAGCTCATTTTTAAAACCAAATTAACGTTAAGTACAATCAAAGATAAATTTTACTTGGAGCAACCAAGTGGTAAACAAAAATAGTTTATATTTGAAGAATTCATATAAATCATAATCTCATATGATCACCTTTCAGTAAATATTCCTCAAATCATTCATATCAAGTCAACAATATAGAATGTACTCAGGATGAGACATGGTCAAACCAGAAATGAAGTTTTTAAGTTATAGTTGAAGAAAAGATACAGCACGGAGAAGATAAGCGAATAAGGTAGTTGGGACAGAGAAGAAAGCAGAATGGTCACTCTCCTCCAAGATATACAACTGAGAAGGTGGCCACTTTTCCACCAAACGATCTTGACGTAGAGGATCAAATAGGTTATCCTTAGCAGTCTTGATGTAAACTCTAGGAACTTTCTCAGCTTCAGGGTTTGGAGCCAGCTTATCAACACCTCCCAAAGCCCTAACTGGAGCTGGTCGCAACAACTTAGATGCCAAACTTACATCCTACCAACAAGGCGACAAGCATATATAAGTATAGATCAACCCATTATAACAATACTAGTAATAATACATGACTGCGAAGTAACCTCAAGAGGGCTTTGGCTATAGTAATAATGACGTCTAAACTCCTCCTTCATTAATACGCCAGTGGGTGGCTTATCAGCGCCTTCACCGTATGTGAACTCCCACATGTCTTCTTCTCCTACAGTCATCTTTATAAAATATTCACAAGAATTTATTACCAATATATCTTAATAAAAGTATGTCAATATTAGAACCAATTAGCAGTGAGTGTAAATGTCTCTAATACATTAGTTTAGATTGTAACAAAAACAAAACAGAGATATAGATTCGGGAAAAAAGCCACTCACGACTGAGTCATGAGGAGAAGAGGTGGATCCGGGTTGAACCATGTCAGCCGCGAGGTAAACGACCATGGAGATTTTGTCGGTGAACTTGCAGAGAGCTTCAGTGACACTTCCTCCAGCGGCGCTATGTCCCACGAGTATGACCTTGTGGTGAGGAGGGAGATCAGACAGGAGAGAGAAGAGAGGTCGGTTATAGTGGTCGAAGTCGAAGACGGTGTTAGAGTCAGTGAGGTTGATGCCTGCTCCGGTGAGGTCGACAGAGGTGGCTTTGAATCCGGCGGCCTCAAGAAGAGTGGTGAGTTTATACCAACACCAAGCACCGTGGCTGGCGCCATGAACAAATACAAAGTGAACTATGGAGTCGTCACCAGCGCCTCCTCCTCCTCCTCCCATCGCACTCGTGTCTCTCTCTGAACTATACGTTTAAATTTAACTCTGATCCACTTTGTAGATAACGGTTACAAGCTAGTGTATATAGAAAAAATATGGCCAAATATACACACACCAAAACAAAACAGAAGAAGACGTGGACCTTGTTGCATCTTGCACCCCAAATTTTCTGGAGAAGGATAAAATAAATTGTTTTTTTTTTTGACAACGACAAAATAAATTGTTATAATCTAAAGAAACTGATTAAATATAAATATAGCTGTCGATTACACATGTTTGCTAAGATTTTTTGAAAAAGTTCTCATAAATGATTACAATTTACAGTATCAAATTTATCTACTATTTAGAAGTCATATTGAACCATATCATTAATTATTTAATTTGACATCTTCTCTATTAAAAGAGAAGTATCAAATTTATCTACGATTTAAAAGTCATATTAAACCATGGCATTAATTATTTAATTTGACATATTTGATTGTTATATTAACCAGTCAAATATATACTATTTTCAAAATATTTTAATAACTAATAAAGATATTAATAATAAATAAATTTAAATATAACAAAATCTGTTGAAAAAAATCTAACAAGATCTTACCAAACAAGATCTTACCAAAACAATTAAATATTTTTTTTATTTCGTTATTAGATATAATTATAATTAAAACTAAAATATAAATCATATTTTAAAAAATTTAGTTATATATTTATAAAATAAAAATATACCCGCACGGATGTGCGGGTTAAACTCTAGTTAAATGTAATTTAGATGTGAAATATAGTTTTGGCTAAGATTCAAGAGTACTTGAAAAAGACCTCATAATCTGTTATAATTTACAGAAATTAATCAAAATTGATTTAGCTATCTATATTCTTTGACTAATAAGATTCCAAATTTCTTTGAAATTCTTCTTCTGTTACATATTAAGTGCCATCTTAATATATTTTGGGAGAATTTCAATTATACCAATTTTGTGGTACCACTTTTCATATTTACCATCAACAAAAGAACATTTTAAAAAATACACATTTTATTAAAGGATAAAAGACTCTTATATCTTTGTTCTTTATATATATACATAAAATAAATATTAAATAAAATATTAACTCTAAACCCTAAAACATCAATTCTAAACTCTAGACCCTAAAAAGTAAACCCTAAACCCTAAAAATCAACCCTAAACCCTAAAATATCAATTCTAAACCTTAAACCCTAAACTCTAAACCCTAAAAAGTAAACCCTAAACCCTAAAAAATCAACACTAAACCCTCAACTGTCAATCCTAAACTCAAAACCCTAAACCCTAAATTCTAATAGTATTTTGACTATTAAAATTTTAATAGTAAAGTTGGTTAGTGTAAAGTTGAAAAGTGGTATCTTGAAAGTGTTATTTCTGGCAATTTCCCATATATTTTTTTCTTGTTACAAAAAAATGTTATTTTAATATTTCAATGCAATTTTCAATTTAATATTAATACAAATGTATTGATTTTATAAATAAATATATTTATCTCAAATATTATTAATTGAATATATGTAATTAATAAGAAATTAAATGCATTTTAATTTTTTTTTTAATCCATGTGAAAAATGTAAAGTAACATTTTTTATGAAAATAGAAAAAATAATTAAATATAAATTTAGATGTTGATGATCGCTTGTAAAATACGTGGCTGTTAAGATATATTGGGCCGTGAAGCAAAGGCCCATTATAAGCAACGAGATGAATCGGGGAAAAAAAGAAAGACTCACCTGACGATTCTCACCTCACTGGAGATAAGTCTCTAGATCTCTCTTCCTTCTCTTCTACATCGAAGTTTCGTTTGTCAGATCTTCTTCTCCGACGTTATAATGCCGGTAATTCTCGTTCTCAGTTATCTAATTGTCGCTTTATTTTCTCTTTTTTTTTTCGTTTCCCCGCCACCTTTTTTTGTTGTTGCTGATTCGGACTTGTGTTCCCGCGGATCTGTTAGTTTAAGACGGTGATGGAAGTGGAGCCTCCGAGTCTGATACGTTACTTGATCGGATCGGCGGTGATGATGATCGGCGTCGTTTTACCAGTTGGTTACATGATGTTCCGCAACAAGCGCGTCCCTTCCTCGTCTTCTTACTCTAAACAGACGTAGGTCTGCTTTTTCTTTCACTCTCTGTGAATAAAACACTTACACAGCTTTGAGTTTCTTAGGGATAGTTTTAAATCGCAATAAGAACCATTTAGTTTGTTACAGAAAAAAAGAAAAAGAAAAAAGGAGATCAATTAGTTTAGCCATGTCAATGCCTTTGTAGAGAATGAAAGCTTTAGTTTATTATTGTGTTTGGATGGAGTTCAGGTGGGGAATCCATGGTTGATAGATGATCAAAATAAATTATAGTTGCTCCTCTCTTCGTTTAAAGGCTTTGTTTAGGCTATGAAAAGGAAGGTGTGATTCTTTTGTTAGTCAAGTCACTCTCTGGACTGTATCATCATCATCTTTGGTACTGATAGTTTGATGCTTATGTTTACAATTTTGCAGGAACAAAGTTTTGATATAGAGAGAAGAGAGGACGGGTTGAATCCAATTCGATTGACGACGTTTTACATGGGTTGATAAAGATGCTTGGATACAAGATTCATAAACCAAGCGAATACTTTTTCCGTTAATCTCCTCGTTTGTTTCTTGTTCAGCTATTCCAAGGTCTATTATGTAACAACAACAACCTCTTCTCTTCGATGGAAAGACAATAATATCAGTTCATTGTATTTTCTTTTTTTGCTTTTCAGTTTGATTGTTTGAAAAACAACTAGATATGGGATTCAATAGGGTAATGATTTGAGCAATTTCGAAACCTGTTAATGAGTAGCCTCAAGTAAAAATGAGCAACAACACTTTTCGAGATATAGATTTGTGAGTTGGTCAGCTCATGTTTGAGCATAATACGCAGAACATGTTATGAGTGCATAATGAAATGTACTCATTCCTCTTTCCACCTCCCCAATGCTTGTCCAACGCGAACTCTGTCTCCTTGTTTGACACAGAATCTGTAATCCGAGGAACTGCTTGAACCGTCTGGTGAGTTTCCGGTTGGTGCTTGAAAAACAAGCACCACGGTCGATCCCATGTTGAATACACCTACCTGCATCCACCATTTACCAAAGATATGAATAAAAGAGATTCATTACATTCGTTAATTCTGGAATTTGTATTGGTTATTACCTCCTTTCCTTTCTCCAGCTTTAAGCCAAGACCTTCTGGATCGTACACTCGCTCCTCTGGTGGCTCTGTAGGAAACAGCTTCTTCTTTGGCTTGTTTGTTCTTAGTTCGGGTTCAATGAAAAGCTGTGACAGCAAACGTCAGCAATGTCGTTAGCTCAGGGAGTTATGATTTGTAAATTCTCATCAAAACTTACCTCAATGGATCCAATGTTGGTCGCACCAACAGCAGCAAGTGCCATAAAACCTTGTTTCCATACCCCTTCAAGCACAACCTGCTCTCATTTAGATTAACAACTGATGATCAATGTCTGGAGATGAAAAGAAAAGCCTACACATAACAGAGAAAAAATTACCCTTTCATTTTCAACATAGAGATTTTTTATCGTTCTTGTAGCACGCTCGTTCACAGGAAACAGCCGCCCTGCAAAAATTATTGTTATACCAATAGATACAAAGGTCTAATCCAACATAGGCTGTCTTGTATAGACTTGAATGAGAGACTAGAGAGTAACCAAACCTGCAAAGTGTCGACGAACCAATGCATTCCAGTCAGTTGGAGAGTGTATCCGATGATAGTCCCCTGGTTTTAGGTATATCACACAATAATAGAGCCCCTTCATTGGACTGCAAAGAAAAGCACGATCATATAAGCTGCTGCAACGTTCTTGACACTACTAAAGTCACTGCTCAGATGTTTTAACGTTGATTTTTTTTTTTTAACTGACCTAGCTGAGATGCTTTCTCGTAATTTTGGAGATGCCAAAGAGACTCTCAACCAAGACTTATCACCTTTCTCTCCAACAGCTTCCTCTTCAGACACGTCCTTGCCTTGAGGTACCATGGGAAGCAGGGAGTTGGTTCCGAGAAGAGCTGGTACTGAGTAAGAATGTCCTTTGACTTGCTCGATCATCCCTCTGCTTTCTTTTAACTCCCCAAACCTTAGAATGGTGCCATCCACAGGACTAACCTGATTTTTTTTTTCTTGAAATCTTAGAAAGCAAAACAAAGGAAAGTTTGCATAACAGAAAGTAACAACGTTCTTGTTACCAGTTACCAGACAACGAGGATCGGGGTCGATAGGCCTGCAACCTTCTTTCAAGCTGCGAACAAAGAAGTCTCGTAGTGAAGTATATTCTTCAAGAGGTAAAGCTGCTTCTTCAAGATCTGTAAAATCACAGATAGATGAATCATTTTCTTTGTACAAATCTCAAACCAATATCGTCAAAGCAGCATCAAATGTATACAAGCATACTTGAATGGAAAGCCCGAGACCATGCTTTGTACACAAACGGCCGCATCCAGACAGGAATTTCCTGAGAAGAAAAAGACCAAACAAGTTTAAATCATGATCATTCATAACCAGAAGTGGTTCAAGAGATAAGAAACTCACCACGCTCGTCAAGGAACCCCATGCTCTTGAGATGGAACGCAGAGGCAGAATCCCAAGGAACGAGGCCTACAATAAAGAGAAGGTCCACGTCAAGAACTTAGAATAGTCAATTAAACCTTAAAAGAGAAAAGAGCAACAAAAACAAAAAGGGTTTGTACTTTAACATCTTGGTGGAACTCAAGTTCGATTCCCCTTTCCCGTTTCTCTTCCATCTGTCCATTCAAAACCAAATGCTATAAAAAAATCTATTGAGAGAGAACCAAACGAACTGTCTTTACTACCTTCTTGTCTTCATAGAGACGGCGACCATGAAGAGCTCCAAGCATTAGTATAGTAGCCACAGTTGCTCCGGGCAAGAGAAACGCATTGCCTACAATGACCATTTTCTCTATGTTAGATATTAAATTCGGCAAGGGAAAAAAATAATTAAAAGCTCAAAACTTTGACACAAGAAAATTCTCTAGCTTTTTGAGAAAGACAGAACCTTTTACAAGTGTTGTTGTCTGAAAAAAGCAAAAAAAGCAGAATCTAACTGAATTACCGTTTGAATCTCCGGTTCCAGCTCCTCCGTCTCCGCCGCCGAGAGAACTAAAGGTCCGGCGATTGGAACGGATATTGTTGATGATAGAGCTCAAGGTCCGGCGTTGACTATGGTGGAAGCGGCGTACATATGAATAGCGACAAAACATAAAAACATTCTGAGAAAATCGAGGTCTCATGGCGTTTTCTTCTTGGAGTTGCAGAGAAACCGCTTTAGCTCTGCTGGGTTTTAGGGTAAAACAAAGACACTTGTTCTAGACGATAATTAAAACGGCGACGTTTCTCCGCGCTTGCGAAACAAGTCAATCTTATCTTGATTGGGCCTATAATATTAAAGTATCTGGGCTTATCAAAACTCAAGTTTGTTGATCATCATCACTATGGGCAAAAAAACCGGAACCGAAATACCGAACCGAACATACCTGAAAATAACCGAACCGAAACCAAACCGAATTTATGAATTATTGAATTGGTTACAAAAGTTTTATACCCGAAGAACCGGAACCGAACATATACCGAACCGATAACCGAATAATACCCATATAGAACCGAATGAAAACTCCTTATACACTTACCTTATACATTTATATATCTATAGTTTATACTTTATACCCATATAGTCTTTCGCATGTTTTATTTTCAACAGTTTGGTGTTTGGTTGTTTAAAAACCTCGTGTGTTTTTTGGATGTTTTATTTTTACAAATTGGATTTTGGTTTTTTAATGAGGAAATCATTTGAATGTTATTTTGATGTTGGTTTTAATTCATCTATTTGCAAGTGTATTAAATTAATTTGGGTAATATGGTTACAAAAAGTAACCATTTAGAACCGAACCCGATTGGAACCGTTTTTTTCCGGTTCTAATATAGTTACCAAAATTCAGGAATCGAAAGAACCGATAACCGAAAGAACCGACCCGAATTGATCCAAGATTTTCACGGTTCCTTAATGGTTACCAAAATTCAAGAACCGAAATAACCGAACCGAACCGAACCGAAGACCGAACGCCCACCCCTAAATTCATCACATATGAAACAAGCGTTAATCGTGTTTTAATCGTAACTTACAAAAGTTTCCTCTCTGCCGTGATGAATTTTCGAAGTTGATTCCTAACCACCGCAGCAAACTAATCCGTCACACGATCTCGGCTCATCCCGCATAATCGCGATCGTCCTATCCAAGTGAGCTCTCCGCCACACGATCTCCTCTCAGAACCGTAGATCCAGTACGTATCGATCTTCTCTCAATATATCTACAGAAATCAATAGTACCTCAATTACTTCGGTTTTCACCTAATGTTTGGGAATCAACATTTCATTTATAAAACTCTAATTCGTAGAGTTCAAAAATCGAGTGGTTTGTGTGAAAAATGGAGAACGATGGGAAGAGGAGACTAGTGTTTGTGACGGTGGGGACAACGAGTTTCGACGCTCTCGTGAAAGCAGTGGTGAGTCAAAACGTTAAAGACGAGTTGCACAAGAGAGGATACACTCATCTTCTCATCCAAATGGGTCGAGGAACCTATTCTCCAACCAAGGTTCTTCTTCCCTCTTTGCTTTTGACTATATTTTAGAAGAATCTTTATTGTATCTGATGTCAGGCCGGTCCTAATGCCTTAGGCCATTTATTGAAAGATTTGATTTTTATATATCTTTAGGGTTCTAAAGAAAAAAAATTTGGGGGCATTTGTCTATGTAATTTTTTTGGGAATCTAAGGCAAATGTTTCGTTAGGCTTAGCTCAGGACCAGCCATAACTGATGTATATCTTCTGATTCAGTGTGATGGAGAGGATGGATCATTATCCGTTGACTACTTCACATTCTCCTCAAGTATCGCGGATTATATCCGATCTGCATCTCTTGTTATAAGTCACGCTGGTTAGTTAGTTAGTTTCTGCAATTAACAGAGAGGCCTGTTTTTTTTTATAATTATTGATTGTGGAAATGATGTCAGGGTCTGGGAGTATATTTGAGACGTTGAAGCTAGGGAAACCATTGATTGTTGTTGTTAACGAGGATCTGATGGATAATCATCAGTGTGAATTGGCTGAAGAGCTTGAAGAGAGGAAGCATTTGTATTGTGCTCGTCCTCTCACGCTTCATCAGACCTTGATGAAGATGGAGTTGGAGTCTCTGGTTAGGTATACTCCTGGGGATGGAACACCCGTTGCCAAAATCATTGACAGGTTTCTTGGTTTCCCTGATGATTAAACTGATACATAAAAAAAAAACAAGTGTTATTGAGAACAGATTCATCTGAATGTGTGCGCTAAACTGGTGTATGTTCTGAAATAGCAAAACCTTTTTGATTGACAAAATTGACTTTGTGTTGGTAGATTCATATCTTTGTAATAGCAAAAGATTTCTCTGATGTTTTAGAGAATTATGGATAGCTTCATATTCTACAATCCTCAGCTTTTAGCTAGTTTTTAAAACTGATTAAGGTCTTAACAATTAGTTTTGTAGACAAATATTGCCAGATTACACGAACGTTATTAAACCGAAGTTATACAATTATACGGAACCACTGAAAAAAAAACCTAGGGTTTCAAAAAAAAAGTTTTAAACGTATAAATTTCATATTTTTATATCTTGTTGCGAATTGTGATGATAAACAAAAACGTTTAGGTAAGATCTCTCTTCAGCAAGCAAATGTCTTTTAAACCCATAAAAAGAAATTGTATAGTCTCCAAAATTTTGCAAAAACAAGTGTCATAAAGCGAAAGATAAAAGAGGAACAACATGGAACCTAGAAGTTGATGATAGCAGTAATAAAGAAAAGCAGCAAAATGCAATTAACGGTAACGACGAAGGGAGAGAGAGTTGTTCTTCTTCCATGTAGCTCTGCGAGACGGGCGGTTCTTATGGTTGTTGTGACCCTTTCCACGCAGTCCTCTGTTCTTCTTTCCCTCCGAAGTAAGTCCTCTGAGCTCACGGTGTTTGTGCACCGGGTTACAGATCCAGTTGATTCTCGGGTCATTACGCACAGCGTTGTGTGCCGGGTCAACCAAGATGATCTCGTAGTACTTGTAGGTCGAATCCTAATTCAAAAAAATTGGTAAGTTGACATCACTAGACAAAATCGAAAAACTCATGGGAGACAATGAGAGATGTAATGTAATACCTCGTTGAGCCAGTAGGAGTTGACGACTCTGAGGCCACCCAGTTTCCTTCCAGCACGCTCCTCGGCAACAGAACGCTTGCTTCTCTGGAACTTGAGTTGGGTTACTCCCTGGTTTGTGGGCTTACCGTAGACAATACCCTTTGGCACTGGCCTCTTGCGTCCACCACGTCTCACACGGACACGGTACACCACAAAGCCCTGACACACATCAATATCAACAACTAGTTAAGTAACTTGAACTCCAAAGTAAGAAGACTGTTTTATGTACCAGAACAAACACTACATAATTCAAATAAATATAAATCCAGCAAGATAATAAGTAGTATAAAATTGTCGATTGTACATGGGATTTATCATTATAGACAATTCTTTAATAGAGAAACCACATAACTAGCAATGGTTTTATATCCTTCTACTAACAACGCAAAAACACGCACAAAATCAAGCAACTTAAACTGCATTATAAGCAGATAAAACAGCTATAGCAATTAAATTCTCAGTACCTACACATCAAAATCTCATTTTACTAATCTAAATAAACTTCTACACATATAGCAGAACTAAAATCAAGGTTAAGCATGAAAAAGACACCTGCTTGGCCTTGTAACCCAAACGACGAGCCTTGTCGGGACGAGTAGGCCTGACGAGACGGACAATGGAAGGTTGCTGTCTGTACTCCCAACACCTCACCCTCTGCACGAACCTCATGACATCAGACTGCTTCTTCCTCCATAGCTCAGAAACATACTTGTACGCACCTATAAGTTTCACCAAAATCATTAAGAATTAGTAAACATTTCGCAATAACAGATCCATATTAGCGACATCAAGGAGAGACGCTACATCGATCTAAGAAACGAGAAGAACGGATCTAAGACGAGAGATGAGAGTAAACGATTTACCCATTTTCGATGTTTCGCAGAGAGCCGCAATGAAGGTTTTGTCTCTAATATAAAGTGAAAGGGTTAGGGTTTTTAAATCCAGCGGAGCACTACATCAAAAGAAACTGGGCTAGGTCTTTAAATAAAAGGCCCATTAATAATAGCCTTGGAGTTTCATTTAAATCACTATATCACAATTGTGTGTTAGTTATGATAAATAACATATATCAATTGTTATAAATGAATTATTTTCTAACTTTGACGTCAAACAAACCGTCCCGTCACGGATCGCAGCGGACTCCATTTTTTGTAGGTTACAGCGGGTTTGTTTTGCACAGGCTGCAGTTTCTGAAAAGTCATCCAATCTCGTCCTGTCAATATACACAGTCCTTTACAAGGCGTCCCGCAGGCTGCACACCAATGTAGTCAATCATGGATGTTCTTAACATAGGAGACTATTCCAAGATGATTAAAGCTATTGCACCACATATCTAAACACACAAAATAAATTTATCATGAAGCAACTACTACTGAAACTCAAAAGAATTTGTTATATCATAATCAAATTTAAAGTGTATTTAAAAATGAGATAAGTTCTTGTAACAAATGCATGTATAAATTGAGTTTTTTGATATGATTATATATATAGAGTTATAAATTGTATTTATTTTTGTCACACCCAAAACATATTAACATAAAAATTAAAGAATTGCAAAAAATATATTTAATTATCTTATAATTGATAAGTTCATAATCAATGTTTTAGTTTGTTGAATCAAAAAATTAAATAAAACCAAATATCAAATTAAAACTGTCAATCCAAAATTAAATAAAAGATAAAATCAAATCAAAAGATCGTCAAAGTACGAATCGTCATAGCCGGAGCTGGAGTCGTCATTGTTAGAGCTTGAATCATCATCACCGAAAGTCGAATCCTCATCGTTGTAGCTCTTTACGTTTTTTTGAAGGAAGTCACATGAATCATCTTCTTCTCACTTCATTACTTATTTTTTCAGATAAAACAAAAAAAAATGAAGAAAAAATGCGGGTCCTTATAATCATGTGTGATCCGTTTCGATTCATCCTGCAAAAATCTATCCCGCAAGGTCTGCAAATTTATGGGCCTAGAAATCCTTGTTCCAATGTCGTTCTGCGAAAATCCTTTACAGACTAGATCCGCGGTCCAGGTCCATAATTATCATTTCTATAAAACTCTTTTCTTTAACACGCATTTTATGATGACTCTTTAACCGAATATTCAGATACTGATAGACATACCAACTTTTGGGTCAAATCGATTTCATATGGATTTAAACTATGTGTATTGGCTTTACCACTATATTAAGTTAGATAATTTTCAATCTAAAAGTAACTAAACAGTTACTCATATATCTTATATACTAGTTATGATTTTCTTTTTGTTTTCAATTTAAGACAACATAAAAAACTAATATGGTATCAAAGCTTCTTTTACCAAACAGAATGAACCCTAAAGATTATTATCGGTCTTAAAGTGGATTTTGTTTTGAGATGGACAAATAAAAACCATCATGTCGAAGGAAAGATCCAACATAGAACTTTAAAAGGAAAACATTAATATATATGTGACTTAGACCAGTTCACTAATCTCATTTAGCTTTAAGTTGTAAATCCATAAATAATGGATATAAGAAAAACATGACAATTTATAACAAAATTTCCGACATAAATCAATTCGTTGAGACTATTAGAAATTTCGACAGATGCCTGATTAATGCCCATCGTACGAAAAAATTCCAAAAAATCTCAGTGAAATTATACATTCGTTATGTATCCATTTTACAATATAAAAATTTCCAATAGAAACCCAACGAAATATATAATTGTTATTTAGCCGTTAAAAATTTCATATTCCCACAAAATTCTGATATATTTTTGTTTTTATAAGAAATTTATCTGCATTCATATATAAATACCAACTCTCCTTATTCAAACCAAAACAAAGAACAACAAAATAAAGAACATGTCTTCTTCTACTTATTTTCGTTTCCAGATGGATGAACCTTTTTATAAATGAGAGAGACAAACTTATGGTATAAGTGAGTTCACGGGGTTGTCACTACGTCAATAGAAACAATGATAATAGCATAATTTCAAATGTTATGCTTTATTTACTAGAAAGGTGTGAGTAATAAAATCATAACCGGATCTGAAACTTTGGGAACTTGAAACATTTTTTAATAATTTTAGAAATGTAGTAACCAAATCTCCTCATTCAAAACAAAACAAAGAACATGTCTTCTTCTACTTATTTTTGTTTCAAGATGGATGAACCTTTTTATAAATGAGTCAGACAAACTTATGGTATAAGTGAGTTCATGGGGTTGTCTCTATAAAAACAATGATAATAGCATAATTTCAAATGTTATGTTTTATTTACTAGAAAGGTATGAGTATTAAAATCATAACCGAATCTGAGATTTTGGAGATTTGAAACATTTTTGTAAGAATTTTGAAAATGTAGTAACCAAAGTCAAAATTTAGGAATTTATTCATATATTAAAAATTTATAACTTTTTGGAGGGTCAAGACGAAAGTTTCATTCAGTTGTGTCTAGATCCGATTAAGATTGTAGAAATTTAAAAATATCTATATTATTAAAACTGAAATATTTGTTGGTACTGTTTGGAAATAATGATAATAATAATAATAATAATAAAAAGAAATATGTTTGAAAACATGAATAACAGTGTCTTTTTAATATTTCATTTTATTTACATATTTAGTCATTGCATTTGTAATAAATTAGATATTTCCTTTTTGTATTTATTTTTATTTACAGATTATAGCACCACATCTAAAATCATTTAAATTAATTAATTGCAATTCTAAAACTAATGGTGTTATTAATAATATATGAATATCAATTATAATATAGTATATATTATATAAAACAAGTTTTAAATTTAGTATTACTTTATTTTATTTAATCAAATTAAAAAATCTGAGAGTTCAGTGTTCAATAAAATAAAATATTAGAAAGTTAAAAATAATTCACAGAAAATCAATGCAAAAATTATTTTATTATTTGATTTTAAAATAAATTAACAAATAAAAAGATTAATATATGATTCGTACAATTACATCACATTATGAAATTCTTAATATAATATTATGTAAAAATAAAAAAAAATATTATCAAACATCTATATTGTAAAATAGTATTGTTTATATGTAAATTAAAAATATAAAAAATATATATATATATATGATTTTTTTTATAAAATCAGCGAGTTATGAATTTATGTTGAACACAAATTAAATCAAATATCTGCGCAGAGACGGGGGACAACATCTAGTTCATATATTAATGGTTATGCCAGGATACATGATTTGATATACTAAGCGAACTTCATACTGTGGATATGTTAGACAAATTTAACATGGATGCAGTTTATGGTGTATGCATTGTTTAGATGGTTAATGATAAATATACAAAATATTACCAACTATCATGTTTAACAGGATTTCCTCAAGTATCACGTGCACATAAACTCTAAGTAACAACTATGACAAGTTAAACTAGACTTTTCTCTTTGACCAAAAAAAAAAACTAGACTTTTCTCCTTGTATTATCGTTTTTCTTGTCTTCCATAATAAAATGAAAACAAGAAAATTGGTTCAAATGTTACAATCATTTGTACATGTGTCAATTTCTTATTTTGTTTGTATATATAATCACGCCAATTGGTCCATTAATATTTTTGACTTTCTCAAATAAGCTGTCCGCTATATTAATTCGAGTGGTCAAAACTTGGTTTGTACTATATACCATTTGGTTATATATTTATTTTGTCTCATACTTTATTATTTTATCATATAATTTTGTAACCAAGCTCCTAACTGAACTTCCTGATATAATAATACTACAGAAAATAGGTCATATATTATTAGTACAGTTTGAAAAGTTTTTCTTTTCTTGTATGCTGCATATATTTCATAACTATTATACAACTAGTTACTATATATGTTTTTCTTTTGTTCACAAACCCAATTTTTTTAAAAGGTATTTTCACATGTGTAAATATTACTTTTTCACATATAGGTGGACAATAAAAACATATATATTAAACAAAACTTATATATTGCCAAAAGTATGCGTTTGTGGTCTAACAAAGGATAATGTTATAATGTCTTGATGAGAGCACATTCAATATCTTACAAGGTCTTTATACTTTTTTTCTTTTTAACAAAGTAAACCTAAAAATATGGAGGTTCTGGGTGTTTTATTGACGGAACAACACATTAGAGGTTAATACAACAATCTTTAGTAACTATCGCCTCATAGGTGGAAAAAACGCTTACGTTTAAATAACTCATGGGTTATTGTTTGCTTTGATCTAAGTTAGTCTCATTACTACATAAAAAGGTCCCGTCGATTCTGCATGGACTCATGCTATTGTAAATGAAGTTACAAGATTACGGAGTAGTTATCTTTCTCGTTTATGGTCGCCATGGTTTATGATATAGGGTTTTCCACAACTCTAAGGTTTCGTTCATCAATAGGATGGATTGTTGAAACTTGAAATAACCGGGTCTGGGATACGTGATTAAAGTTTTTTTTTGTTTTTTTTTTGACTGGTGCACAAAAAAAAGTTTTTGACTTGGTGTAAAAGCATCTTTGTTATACACTAACATCGCTTTATGTGGACAAGCTATTTTATTTTGTTATGAATTTAAAATTACGGTGCAGTTTATGAGATTCTACAGGTGGACTGGGAAATATCTCTACACAAACATATTTCATGGATCTCAAAATTCACTCAGAAATTGGATCTATGGTTTAAACTAATGTATCGAAGACATAATAACTAAAAAACTATTTATTGATGATTTTGGTATGATAAAAGTGTATATTATTGATCTTTGAACTTATACAGCTGTAGCTGTTTATATGAGGATCACGACGTGGTTTCAAATCACGTCGAGTATCTGCATTATCAAAATCATCTTTGCTGATCTAATCTTTTTTTACGTTTTTGGATT